AACAATTCGGGGTGCAATAGCTCCTCGCAGGGCAAGCCGACTTCAACCTGTGCCGACCTGCTTCCAATGTCCTGACCCCGTCATATAGGTCTTGACAACTGCGCTACAAAAGTCAACGGGACTCTCTTGCTTCTGGGGGGACCAGCCTATCGTGGTCGCCGAGCAGCTCATACGTGGAGGCTAGAGCTATAGATCCATGGCGGAGAACAAGCGCCAGGTTTCAGTAAAGGGCTCTGCACAGAAACAATCTGGTAACGCAGTAGGCCCCGGGATGGCGACACCCATAGTGTCCTTGGAGGCAGCACTGAGCGGGGCAATCGGTGCCCGGTGAGTCTTATCTGCCAACGTTGGTGTATACAAAGTCGCAGCGCTGACCTATTCCGTTCTCATGTTTAGCGTGCGTATTACGACCGCGCAGCCAATCCAATCGACTTTCGAAGGTACACTCTTCACAGCATGCCCGATCACCAACCTCGTGGCCATCAACACGGCCCCCGCTCCCAACCCCGGTGACGCCAAACAGGCACAGAACGGTGACTACCGTGTGATCCCCATCTCGCGCATCCAGAACTTCCAGCTCCTCGCCCTCGCCCCGCCCTCGAACTCCAGCTCGTCCTCGTTCACGGATGCACAACCCACGATTCAGGCACTCGACACCCGTGCGCTCAAGGCACGCGAGTCGAAGGCCATCGGTGAAGCTCTTGACCGTGAGGCGCGTCGTGGTAAGGGCGTCACTACTCAGGCCCAGGACCTATTTGATGCTTTCAGCCGCACTATGCCCGCGCGATGGAACGGACACAACATTATCGTCGCCGATGCTGTGACAATTGCTGCTCCTTACCGTGTTGATGACTGTCGTTCGATTGTGGAGGGCGACACGGCTGCTCTTGCTCGAGTGCGCAAAGTGGTAAGTTGTCTAATTATCCTCAGTCATCAATCGCAAAACAGATGGAGCTAACGTTGTGGAATCTAGCTCGAGATGGAGCGCAAGAAGATTGAGCTTCGCAATGCCAGTGCTACCATCGGCTCGACTAGCACCTTCTCTCGCCACCCCAACGTCCCTAACGATCAGCGTAAGGGTGGATAATGTGCCCAATCACGCAAATACCAGAAACGCAGTCCGATGGAATTGTGGATAGGTCTTACGTCGATTCGAGCGTCTTGGTGGCGCTTGGTCAACAAATTTGATGGAAATACCCAAGCGAAAAATGATACTGCAATGGGATAGAGATGATTCGAAAGCGGATCCGACGGGACACTGCGCGTTCTTGACCGCTTGTGTTTGGGGGATGGCCTGCCTTATTAAGAAACTATATGCCGTGGACTAGCTTTCCGCGGGCTATGCTTGCCATCGAGTTGGACCGTTTGCATTGCTGCTAGCTGATTTGCCTTGTTTCTTGTTTTTGGGCGGGTCGGTGCGCTCAAGCCGAGAATGCGAGACAATCCATAGTGACCTAGTCAATTGCTACGACAACACTTTCTTAGGACAATGATATTGCACACTTCAGCCATGAGAACTTCTGTAAACGTGTCCAATTTTGACAACTGGTAGTGACGACGGGCTCCAGATATTGACAGACATGAGAACAAAATGAAAAATAAAACCGCTATGGATACTGAAAGCAGACATTAGATGGCTGGTACCGGGTAAAACGACTCAAAAATATGCTCACGAGACAAAGAATAGAAAAGAAGTAGGTCATCAATTTGCGCGAGTTATTTGCAATGCCTTGGTCTAGCTCTCCGCAACTGGAACTCTCCCAGGGACCACCTCACAGATAGTCCCCACAAACCCTTCTAACCCTGACATTGATGTCCCAGAGACAGAGCTAGATCCAGGCGCAGATGCTACCGTGGCCCCGGATTGGGCCGATGCAGATGCTATGGAGACACCAGGCATAACTAGAACCCGAGACCCGAGTTCCACCCATTCAACAGACGATACCAACGCAAAGGTAATCTTGACATCCTCTTTCAGAGCTTCTGCAGAAGAAGCCGCCCCAACAGAGGAAACGCCAGACATTACTTTGCTAATATCGCGAACTGCATCACCTGCGCCGTCAACAGTATTGCTTGTTGTAGCATCGTTTGATTTGTCATTGGGAGAATGAGGATCGCCGTCAAAGCTGAAAAATGCAGGTTCCGACGGAGAAGGCGGTTCAGAAGATAGCTCCTCTCCAGTCCGTGTTAACGCCATGCATATTACACGGACGGTAGCTCGAATGTTGGCGATGTAGGCAATAGCGTTACCGCCAAGCAAGAGTGGAGGTGAATTTGGAGCCGAGAACTCGGTAGATCGGAAGGTAGCGGTAAAGCCTGTGTGGAAGGGTAGCGCTAATAATGAGCCGCCAGGCGAGGGGCCATTCGAGGACGAGAGTGGGGCGTGGAAATTTGAGAGAATCATGCCCTTGCGGATCCGGCCGAAACGCGGTAGACGACCGTCCTCCGAAACTCCAATGGGTTCGATTCCAATCGTTCCGACTTGATCTCTAATTAGGCGGCGGACAGGAAGTCGGAGGTCTCTTACACTGACAACGCGGATACGCTGCCATCTTGCTTGTGAATCTTTGCCGGACAATGAGTTCTGCGGGAAGGACGCCGGGAAATCACTCGACGGGCCGGGCCCACTGCGGGACAGTGACCCTCCGGGTGGTTGGGACTCATTGCCTTGGTCATTTGGGACATCCACTAGGATGGGTCCAATGACCATTTCGTCGCCGATGGAAATATTCCCGCGGCGGACTAGGCCGCAGAGTACAATACCCCGGTTTTCTTGGCCGCCCTTCTCCGAGTCTAATGAATAGACTTTGGAGGGCGGGATTGCAAACACTTCATCCACATCGAAGATATTGGCGGAGCTGTGAGAGCGCATTGGTAGCGCTTTAGGGATGCGAAGAGTTCTTTGAGAGGGTCGTGTGGGAATGGGAAGGGATCGAAGAAAGGCATGAAGTTTCCCAATACCAGAACCATCCACAGCACTGGTAAGCATGATAGGTACGGTGTGCCCCCATTTCCCATCAGCTGCCGAGCACACTTTCTGTACTTGGGTGCTCTCCAACGTGCTGACTTGCTGAAGGTCAAGCGGTTTGTCACCTGCAGGAGATGCAGGTAGCATTGCAGGTTGTCGTCCGGCTGTTTTCAGCGCAGATAGAACTTTTCCAAGATTGTCCCGTAGTCCGCTGCGGGAAGCAACGTCCAATTTGGTAATGACAATCAAGACAGGAACCTCTAACTTCAGGCAAAGTTCTAGATATGACAAACACTTATCAATTTCTGACTGTTCAGTTCCTGCCTGTTCGCTGCTGGGTGTCTCAGCACCACAATTGGCTGGAATGCAGAGCATCACATAATGTGGGGCCCAGCTGACAAGTCCTCTCAGGGTAGACTTCAAATATCGAATAGAGCCGGGTAGATCGGACACAAAAGCCAAACGAGCTCCCTTCGAAGCGGCATGGATATCGTCCCAGCCGGCAACATTACCGGAAGCGTAGTTGATCACGGTTGCTGGCGCCTCATCCGTGTACCCAATTAGTTCCTGGGCAACCGAACTGGTGATGCCCGATGAGATTTCATGCCGATGCTTGAGCAGACTCAACCTGCTTTTGCCTCTTCCATTGTCAAGCGCGGACGAAGTCAACGTTCCCAGCAGAGAAGTCTTTCCTGCGGTGCTTGGACCTGCGAGAGAAATGCGAATCTGCTCTGTGTGGGAGTGATCCTCGTCCAAGACCAACGTGTTGCCGACTTGTGGGTGTGCAGCGGTTTTTGTGTCGTTATTGGACTTGATCGGAGAGATATTGTAGAAGTCCAGATCGGGACTAACCAGAGCCTCGGCGACCCAGAGACTTTCGGTGTTGGTTTTGGTTTGGACCCCAGTTGCAGAGGGCACCCCAAGTGCAGAGGGCAAGTTTTCGGCCCATTCACACTTCCCAACCACAACTCGGCGAAGCATCTCCACCTTACACCCAATACTAGCAGCCATAGCCTGTAGATTGGTCATGCTCTCATCCAACTCATCTTGCGTGAGGCCTACGAAAGTGCCATCATCGCCGACCCCGATCTCATACAAGGCACCTTGACTCTCTTCAAGACCGGGAAGCAAGCGGGCGGGTTTAGAGGGCACACCCAATTCCAGGGCTGCCTCGGGAAGAACAGGCACCACAAGGTTAGCGGTAGTGGATGAGTGAAAAGGGGACGATTGCTGCAAACGCCATAATAGCTGGGTAGTCAACCCTTGTAGTCGTTGATGGCGGCTCTGGCTAGACTTGGCTTGCATGGGTCTTGGGCTTGGTTCCAAGCCTGGAGAGACAGGGGTAGACGTGTTTGGCATGACGCGGTAATTGTGATGGTACGAACCCGCTATTACATGCCCAGTCGACATTGAGAGATAGGGGCGCCTGGGTCGAAGCAGAAGGTGCACTTTGTACTCAGTGGGACCCTCTTGGGGCTCGGGCTCCAATTTTGATATTCCATAGTTGGATAACAAGTCAGGGTCGACGCGTAGTGGAGTGGCGCTGGAGCGCGTGCGGATAGCTAGACCCCGACTACCAGATGCATTGATTTGGGGAGTCGATGATCCCGAAGTTGACCACGGGGATGACACCCGAGGTGGGTCAGGGTCATAGGTGAAGATGGATGCCATCACAGTTACAATTCAGACAGGTAACAAATGTATTGGTAATAGGCACAGATATGGAGATAGATAAAGCAGTTCTAAAAGGATTCGAGAAACATAAGGCATTCTGTAGATTTGAACTGATCTGTGATGGAAGTGCATTTCAACTGACTCACAAATGGTACGGGCGGAAGCATCACGTGGCCGATAGTTGTCCCGCTATTTAACCGCCAAGAAATCGTATGAGAGGTTCTATTAAGACATCAAGCTTTTTCTCTCTCAAACAATTTTTTGGTTCCCCTAAAATACAGATGCATAAGGAAATCTAGTCCCGCTAGAGCCGAGCGCCTTCGCTTTAACGCCGAAATCAAAATTGTCCATATGCCATCTACTCAGCGGGTGATTCCCTCCCTGAGCTTTTACACTTGCCCTGCGCAACATGAATATTGCGTGCTGTCGTACGTGTAAATACCGCACCGCATATTGGGCATTCAGCCTTAGCCACCACTCCTGACTTTTCTCGCTGGTGGCGGAGAAGATTGCTGAATGTTGAGAACTCACGACCATTGCAACCATGGTCCCAGCATTGTGGTCGGGGGCGCAAATTGAGTGCTCGGGCTGGGTCAGAATCTGTAGCGGCGGCTGATTCTGGTGAAGAGCACATCGGCTCCGGGGCAGTCATCGATGGTGGCTGAGAGCTCATGGAGGTAGGGTGCGATCTAGTATTTTGGTTTCTGTCAGTTAACTACCTTCTTCGGGTTCATCGACTCAACTCACGGAATGGGTGATGTGTCAGGGAAGTAATAGGCAGGTTGGTTTATCATATAAGGAGGAGGGCTACCCCTGGATGTTAGCAACCAGATTATTGGATCTTTTGCACTTCGAGCGGACGTTCGACATACGACGTCATCAGAGGCTGCTCGGGCTGAGGAGTGCCCGAAACAGATTGAGGGTGGAAAGGACGGACGAGGGGTGGACTGGATTGGAAATGTCAGTCTTTTCCGAGCCCAGGTAATCAATCGGCTTACCTTCGAGGCTGACTGTGACGGGAAGGATTGCCAGGTGCTACGAGATAAGACGCCGGTAGTTGATGTTCTTGTTGTTGGTATCCATGTAGCGGCCCATTTGGGTGATTGGGATAGACCATCGGATAGCTTGATGGAGGGTATGAAGGATGTGAAGATGGAAATGGCGGGCTCATTTGTCCTGGTGGTTGCAAAGGTTGATAAGGTCGGTTTGTCCACGCATATTCTGAAAGTGTCAGTGAACATCTTCTAAATCACGCCCAGATGGGATTCGTACGGTGAGTATCGTGCTGCATTGGGCCAGCAAAATAAGTGTCTGATACTACTGACATTGGGTATGATGAGATGCCAAGGCCGCTGTTGAGGGGATGCCCTAGTCAGCGCAGAACCTGGTTCTCACGACAATTAGTTCGACCTACCGTGGATCTTCTGACTCAATTTCTTCTTTAATAGGAGCTGTGTCCTCGATACAAGACTGCTCTGTTGGCTCTGTGGGTGGATAGTTCAAGCCTGGCAGAGTGTGAGGCTGGCTCGTGCCCGGATTCAGCGTTGTTGAACGATGCGACGGAAGTGGCTGTGCAAATCCTGTTGATTGCGAACCACCTTGTACAGCAGAAATAGAACTCTGAATGTGCTCAACGGGCCAGTGGGAGTCTGGTCTAGGAAGGACGCTTTGTGCAAAGTCAGGAGTCTCCGCTGACTGGACTAGTGGAGACGAAAGCCCAACGTTCGATTGCGAGTCTGAGGCTGTTGGCAGATTTGATTGATTCCTGGAAGAAAATGGTTCCTGTGAGCCAGGTCCTCCGGGAAACATTAGGAACTATATAGGTCCCAGACCTGTGAGATTGCAAGCACTGTGGTAGGGGATGGGATGGGGCCAAGGTCGAGTATAAGGGGAAAGGCGGCACTCTTGAGAGGAAGTCAACATACAGGTTGGAGTCCCGATCCGAGTATTCCCTCGATATGGTAAGTTAAAAGCTTTGCGATTCCAATTGCACGGAACGGGCGCAATGAAGTATTTAAAAGCTCATATCCACGGGCGTTTACTAGCCCCCGCAATCGTTGAATGATCTAAAAGGTCCCGGTTGGGTAGCGTTGCTGGCCCACAGTTCAGAAACCAACACCAACTTCTAGATTTCTTGTGCGCCACTGGTGTGCATCGATGCTGGGTCTACTAAATTGTACTTGTGCCCACTTGTACACCGTCTCAATTGCATATACGATAGAATATCATTGGCTGTCTGATCCGTAATAATCCCGATAAGAAATGAAAAAGGAAAAAAAGAGAAAAAGAAATCTCAGGATCTCCAAATGAGGTGGGCCGATGGGAACTATCACGAGCAGAGTCGGAATTTTGACCCCCACAAGTGACGGGTACAGCAAAGGATATGCGGGAAAATGGCTCGGGACTGATTGCAACTGGGGCCATAATGATCCTCCTAAACAGGGGAGATGACAATCTTGGCCTGGGCATTGGATTCTAGCCCCCATTATAGTAAATGGGGGCGGATTGGGGGCCATGACGCTCTCGATAGGCTAGCGCGTGGCGAGAATGGCGAGATACTCCGAAATTCCACCTTCTGTATTCGAAAAGAAAGGGAAAATTGGAAATACGAGAAACTACTCAATAACTTGAAGTCGAGAGTTCCACCATCCCCGGCCCGATGCTTGTCCCCTATCGGTCTTGGCCCCCACAAACGCGCCGTTGGGAAGAAGAAAAAGAGCCCTGGAGATTACATTAAGAACCATACCTATCTAGGAGAACCACATCCATAGTTCTAATGGAGACTAGTATGCACTAATTTGTTCTTCTTTAAAAAAAGAAGAACTCAAAAGGTGCCCAAGTGCCCATCAGGTAAATGATACCTAACATTAAAACACCTAGGCAAATGCTAAGATTTCAGCCCCAGGTAATCCCGTTCTAGTAAGGATATGTACAGTAGGGCCGGTTGTCGGTTCGTTTTTAGCTCCGAAATACTGTTAAGGCTCGCTGTACTCCTGTACTCTGTACGGGTAATAATAGGCCTTAGATCGAATATCTGGAATATTGGGGGCGATTATTGTAGGCAGCTGTGTATCAAAATGGAAAAGTCGTAAGTAATGGTGGAGCTTGTCACAGGGAAACACAGCCAAGACAAATTGTAATTTGCCAGGATCATGATATGCCCAGGGGGTGTGCTACTCTGATTAGCGCCCTAGGAATTTGTCACTTCCCGCTGGAACTGGGGTTGTCAAAATCCAATCGCCCCTAGGGTCAGGCACGGTCATGATCGGCTCACTCCACAGGGGATCCGCAGTTGTATCACTTTGCTTCAAGACATGTGTTCTGCTAATGCACGGTTGATCATTTGGTGCCGCGTGGCCGATGGAGTACGGAGGAGGAAATAAGGTCATATTCTGACACTTTTTCTGTATGGAAGTGAAACATATGACGATCTTTGGGTTCTTCGGTTTGGGACTAACACTCTTATAATGATCGACTTGACCAAGATCAGCTGACTAAGAACCTGTTAAGGCAGCCCTAGTTTTCATTGATTCAGTTTCTTTTGCTGCGTCCTTTGCGTCTTGGGGCCTATAGTTACATTTGGATGGTCTCGTCTACTTTTACAAGGTTATACTATCCAGTACACCTTACTCGCATTCTTGTATGTTGTAGGTAATGATGTCGCATTGAGCCTGTGCTATTGGAACGATGAACAATGGGTACCATCAGGACTGTAGATACGCTCCGCTGTACAATCACTCTACCTAGATGGAGGGAATAACTAAGGCACATCAAGAAAAATATGAACATGGCATTCCCATTGATCCCATATTGGCACACCGCTCACCTGCATACCAATTATGAGTGCATAAAAGTGGTTGAAACCAATAGGACTTTTCCTGGGTGCGAGACACTCTGAAACTCGCTATTTTCAGGCAGATTGCCTGCTGGGAAGGAACAAAGGCCCAATTTTGCCTAAATAGCCTCGGAACTCGACATTACCCAATGCTTGGACTGGTAAAAGATTGGTTTAGGTTGAGCATGTCTCAGACGATCAGAACTACCGTGTCCAAGATGAGACAACGGTGATGAACGTAATATGGATCATTATTTTCATTATTTCAAGAAACACACACGTGCAACATAAAGTTTGATTATCGTAGAGAAGGTCGAATGTCGAGAATGAAATCCGCAACATCAAGAGGTGAAATTCAAATCACGTGATTGGTCTCACCTGATCAGATCTTCTCTGACTCTGATCCAACAGCATCATCAAAACCAACGCGTTTTAGGTCCCCACAGTCCCTAGCTATCTGCTGGTGTCTTGACAATTTATTGAATTGAGACCGTCCTCAGCTTTCAGCTTACTGATCCACCATGAAACTCGTCCGGTATGTGATAATCTTTCTTGTGCGCGGCAATCACCCGCTCCGCTCGACGCACCAAGCACCATTAAACGCACCCCTGCTGACATGTAATGATCCTTATAGCTTTTTGATGAAATGCGCCAATGAGACGGTGACCGTTGAGCTGAAGAATGGTTAGAGCCCCCACGCAATCCCCGCAGACCGCAACCTAAAGTCCCCTCGAATATGTCACCTTGAAATAGGCGAAAGGAATGTGTTCGCTAACTTAAGTCCCTCATCTAGGCACAATCCTTCACGGCACTATTGTGTCTGTCTCCCCTCAGATGAACACTTCTCTCCGGGCTGTCAAGATGACCCCCAAGGGCCGTGACCCCGTTTCTCTCGACACCATCAACATCCGCGGTTCCACGATTCGCTATTACATTCTCCCCGACAGCCTTCCCCTTGATACCCTCCTCGTTGACGATGCACCCAAGCCGAAGAACAAGGCGCGCAAGGAGACAGACCGTGGTCGCGGTGGTGGCCGTGGCGGACCACGAGGCCGTGGAGGGCGCGGAGGCCCCCGCGGTCGTGGTCGTGGACGTGGATTCTAGATGTTCTGTTTTCTTCTGAGAGAAGAACCCGGCGTTTATTTCTGTCTTCGAAATTCGGTTTGATTTTGCATCATGGGATACAATCTGTTCCTTTTTCTACTACCCAGGCCAGGGGTCCCGATTTGGATGGTGGGTGACATACTGAAAAGATTAAGCAATTTTACCGGGGATATTTTCCCCACTCTCAAGATATCATGTGCTCAGAGTTCAAGGCTTGGGCAGAAAAAGTAGCTGAATATTAGCTATCAAAATTACTGTGGAATCACTTGAGAGAAGGATACATACGATCTGGGTGTGGTTAGATCCACCTTCTTTCCCTTCGTCTCCAATGCACGATTCCCGGCCATGCGTGTGAAGGCGACAATGGCTGTATGCCAAGGGAGGCTTTGACGTTTACATAGAAAGGAGACTCAACATGATCTGGGCCACAGCAGTATCGAAACAGATATCGGCAAACATAATGCAAATTTGTGAACACATACCTCGTAGGCGTGTTCAACCCTCGCATAGGTCTAGGGCTATTCTGTACACGTCCTGTAATTATTGGTGTTTTCTAGCGTCTTCCCCTCTTCTGTTGAACTCCCCAGTCTTGGACAGAAACACGGCGATTGCAGAATCTCACACAGCGCACCCGAGATTGGCCAACTAAGCCGAGGCATGCTCTTAAACAGCACCGAGATATATGTACTCCGTGCTAACTTCGGAATTCTCGCTCTAAACACCTATATTCAGGGCTTGCTCTCGGAAAGACTACATAGTATATCACTCCACCTAGTATCAAAATGTCGCCGGGCCAAATTAGGAGGTAAGATTACACTGAGCGACCACGACTTGCCCGAATAGGTAGTTAATGAATTTAGGACACATGAGTGCTTATTGCAAACGTTGTCGTGATCGCTGATTTTTCGCTCCGGTGATCTGCAAAGAGTGAAGAGGCGAAGATGTAAGACATGAAAAGGCCTATCTCAGGGGAACTAGGGCAGAAGATCTGCAAGTAAGCTGAAACATTTTATTCACAATAATATGAGATATGTGTGTCTCTGCTCAATATATTGTACTCAATCCTGGTGCCAGCCTTGAGCCAATGTAACAAGATTATTATGCCACGAGGCAGTCTTCCCGAGCCTCCCGGGCTTTCAAGGTTCGGAACAACGAGATGAACCTGAGACCCTTGCCAAGATGTCTCGAGAGATTCCCGAACTATTGGATCAATAAGGCCGTCACCGTAGTCCTTTTCCAGCTAGAGGGACCAAAGTCTGTTGATCCAGCGCTTTCGACCAGGGTTGTCACGGAGACTGTTTCCGGTTAAAACGTTCTCAAGTTCAGTTCTGCCAAGACTTTTATAGTGGTTGGCTGATAAGGACCTTCTAGTTCAGGGGTTCTCGTGTGCGAATCATCCCCGTTTACCTGACTAGATCAAAGCGTTCGGTTTTTGTTTCCGAAACCCGCTTGGAGAAAAGGGATTTTAGGGTTTGGAATATTGTAACTGGCGAACTCTAACTACTAGCTACGAAGTATTGCTGACGTATCTTGGTCCATTGTCCCATTACCTCTCTCTGTATACTCTGTACGAGTACATACATAGCACAACATAGGTGTGGTAGTCGCATGACTATGGGGTTATATTTTCCACACATTGATTTATTGGTTAGTTCTAATACGATTTTTCTTTTGTGTTTGGGGAATATTATTTCCAATTAGCGGGTCAGACGACCTAATATTCCAAAGATAACCTACAACATACGCGTATGCCCAAGCCTTCATTTCTCGGTTAGTACAAATCCAGTAAATGTTTCCAACAATTCAAAATCATCTTCCCATGATCTTCGCTAGTACTCCGTATATTGTATACATGTAACACTTTCCTGACCCGCCCAGAGCACGACACCGCCGATCTCAATGAGTAGGACAACCCTGCATGTTGGAGTGGATAGTACTCCGTATATTGAGTGTCTTACGGAGTCCTCGTTTAACATCCCCGGCTCGTCCCGTTTTGTTTTAGGTGGGGGCCAGAAAGGGGGATTCTGATCGTCGATCTATCCTCGATCTGCCCACGTTTGTTAGGGAATTTTCACATGTGAGAGGTGGTTTACTGAAATAATGGAGGCGTTTGAACAATAATCGATACGATGGATGTAAAAGGAAGAGAAAACGTGGTGATCCAGTGCTATGGGATCAGATGATCTGACAATATGACAGCTTCCCACGTGGTTGTGGGGACTGAATATTTCACCGATTGTATTCTCGAAGGCAGTGGAGACTTGATCGGATAGGGAACCAATTACGTGGATGTTGTATATGCAGTGCCAAATATGTTGCAACTAGCTAGTTAATAGCTAGGTGATATAGCCTTAAGTAAAAGGAGGCCCAGATTAGGAAAATGGTTCAGCGACCCACATCCATGGCGTTCGTATCCTGCAGAGTATGTTGGCTGAGATTTAGAGAAACTGTTGAAAATAGGCGAGAGTCGGATGATTAAGTCTACACGTCGGGCTTGTGGGTGTAAATATTATATATTTATGTTGCAGCTTCCAAGACCGGCATAGTAGAGGTATATATAAACCAATAAGATCCGTCTCCCGTATTTGGCTAGTTAAGCAATCTAGTAGGTTTATCATATTTCTCTTCAGGAAAGTAGTCTAGCAAAGCCATTATTTGCATGTTGCAAAAATCAAGCCCTGACCAAGGCAGTCGATGGGATACAATAGCCCAATGGCGGACTCACATATCTTTTTGTTCTGCCGAAGGCAACTAAATGGTTTTGTCTTGGCTCGGCTTCTGGATTCTAAATCTTCTTATCATTAAGTACATTTAAAAATGATACTTCAAACATCTAAACGTTACAATGGTAGAATGAGATCATGCGATGTATCCACTAATCTCGCACTTGGCCCCTCCAGCTCAACTGGTTCTTTCGATCCTGCTGTGCCCCTTGAACTCCATCCTTTTCAAAGACAGGACTTGGGAGTCTAATCCATAAATCGCTTGTTGCAGAGTAAAGCTCTTGGTTTCAGCGAGCTCAGATTGTGCCTTTTCGCCATGTTTACGTCGACGTTTTCGTCCATGTTGAATCCAAAATCCAGTCCCACTAGAAACACCAACACCTGTGCCTGCTTTAGCACCTGTTGAAAAGCCCGGGGATTTTCCTTCTGACTCATGACTCGTGACTCGTTGTCGTAGTTGTAGTCGGTGTCGGTTATAACTGCTGAACTGGTGGGTGAAACAAAGGCCGTAACCGGCGCCGAAGAAAGGCCAGTGGAATTCCAACGGAGCTCGACACCATATGCATTCCAACCATCAATCCCCGAAGTCATAGAACCGGAAGTGGTTTTTCGTAGTACCTTCGTATTTGTGTGTTCATACGTCCAGTTCAAGTCGACCGTAGCACCGAGCATACGAACCTCGATACTGTGCCAGAATCTGTCTATGCAACAGGGTCGTGTAAGAAAGTGTCCAGCTACTTGGTCTATAGTAGCGTCATATCAGCATTTGCTTTTGTTTTCCCGCCGCTCTTATCTTTTCTAGCGCCAAATTCTTACTGTTAAATAGGGCAACATGTCCCTATAGTCTCGCCAGCGCTTGCATGATTTGCGGCCATGGCCCAACCGCTAGCACAAGCGTTCCCAGGCGAATGGCAAGTCGATGGGACCAGCCTCATGGGAGACAACTTTTTGGGATCCGCAGACCTAAATTTGCCTAGAATGACCTGGACATTTACTAGCCGGCGTAAAGGTCGTCAAAGACAACCCCGTCCGTCGTGGTTATCATAGTGGGATAAGTAGTTGAGCGCCCAAACTTCGGACGAGAAAGTGTTTGGAAGAGAAATAGGATGAAATGACTGGTTGTAAATCAACTAGACTACCACTAGTAGCTGTGTTTATCCGCGTCCAAGATGATACGCAGCCACATGGGGAGAAGATATGACCCCGCGCAGAGAGACAAGAATGAATTATTTAAATAGGTATAATTGATACATGTCCATAAAGAGAAACCCAGACCATCATATTTAGTACTCCTGCTAGGAAGTCGTTGAAGACTGCCTTCAGAAAAATACATAGTCAGCCAGAACGAGAGCCTTGAGGCCAATTGCGGTTATTGAGAGCCAGCCAACCCCAGCAGCATAGGCAAAGAAATGACCCAACTAAATCCCGCCATCCAGTCAATCGCATGGCCAACATAGCTTCATTGATGGCATGCATGTGTAGTCAGGGTTTGACGCTTTTTCAGGATGGAACAAACGCGCTAGCACCTTTGGCGTCCACACGTCATATATGAGTCCAATGGGTTTGAACTAGGAGTAGTAGGAACGCTAGGAAGGATCCCTAGGATAGTTGTCGGTCAACCGGTATTTAGTCAATGCAAATTTGTTCCTTGTTCCTGGAGCGAGCGATCAAGAGCATTCTCGAAGTGGTCGACTTTGACCTCATTGCCACAGCTCGTTTGGTGGTATAAACACCTTCTGCTTTAGAAGTGACTTCAGCCGACGGTTGCGTCTGAATGGATATGAAAAGCAGTCGATATGCAGACAGTGATGTTTGTTGTGATAGTATCGCTGGCGGTGAGCTTCCCACCTTTTCAGGCAAGATGTAGGGCGGTCATCCATGTGAGATAGACTGACTTCTTCAATGTTGCTGTAATTATTATCGTTCTCTCTTCGTTTCTCCATTCCTTTGTTCAGGTCACTCTTTCGTTCTCTTCGTCTCAGCCTTTCGACCCTCAGTTGTGCTGTCCAAGTTTCATCAATATTGCATAAATCCATACTTCCATCATGCCAAGATTTGATAAATTCCTCAATCCAGCATTCTGTGCAAATAACAGCACATCGCCATGTCCTAACAAGGCTTCTAAAGCTAATAGTGCTTGCGGCCGCTGCTACCTGGTCGTGGTAAGTCTCCAACACTTTGGTCCCTTCAAGGGCCTGCATCATGTTCTAACCAAAATCAAAATAGTACTGCAGCAAAAAATGCCAGAAAGAACATTGGCCCACGCACAAAAAGGATTGTAACGACCCTCTGGCGCATGAAACATGGAAGCCAGACTGGCATACAGAAGATCGCACGCCAAATTTCCACAAGAATCAAGGACCATCTGAACAGGATTTGAACAAATGCAAAATGTCGTGGTGGGGAAGCATGCCAGCATTGGATTTGCTGAAACTGGATGGAAATGAAGGCGATGATGCACCCCCCAAGATGCGTCTTCTTTTCAGCTGTAAGAGATTGTCTGCACTCCAGCAACCGATTCTGTTGACTGACACAGTTTGTGATAGCATCGCACGATATTCGCAACATTGTTGAGACAGTCGCCCGTCTGCCAGACACGTATTCGGGGCAATGTGAGATCGTGATGAATGGAATCACGTCTGCGATTTTCGCACAGAATGTTCTTCTTGTTCTGACAGCTTTCCATTTTCCACCAGAGGAAGCCGTCCCTATAATGATTCACCTGTGGTATTCGGCTTTGATACCCGTGTCTCTTCTCACAGGACTGCGACGAAAGCTCCTGCCGTTGATTGCGGAAGCCTGCTCCGAAGCTGCGCGGAAACGTACCAATCAGCTTTTCAAATGGATCTGGAAGAAGAACAAAGCAGTATTGCATGTAGAACTTATGAGAGATGAGTGGGATCGTCTTGGAGGATTTCTGAAGCCTCCGAGTTATCTTTCTGCTGCGACAGCTGCCTGCAATCGACAAGACGTCATGCTGGCAAGCAACAGAAAGGATAATCTCCATAGGTTTCTGTTCGCGCAGCCTAGATATTGGCGTGTCTCCACGATGAAGTTCTGGCGCGATGGAATCTTGTTGCCTTTTGGGTGCTCACGCAAAGCATTTGACACTCCTAACCCGTTAGCCTCCCAACCCCTCCATTTTACTCCTCAGGCCATTAATAAAATTAGGATCTTTTTCCATGCTAGTCGTTCTTGGCCTATGCCTGACTCTGCAGATCCGCGCACCAGCTGGGACCTCGTGGAGGTATGCACTGGAGCGTACACTGCGAGTTATCCTGCCAAGAATGACCTATACGGCAGGCTATTCCTCTACATCCGAGAGTCTCTCTTGGGTTTCTGTCGCCAACTTTCGAAGCGAGATATCAAGCTTCAACTTCTTTCTCTTGATTCATTGGATCTGCCGGAATATTTCAACCGGCCAGGCGAACATGCAGGATTTGACAGAATTGAGGTAATGCAATCACCTGGACCTCCCTCCTCCCCTGATTTTGAATTCACTTATGTTCTTAAGATGAGAATGCTAATTCGATATAGACATACGTAACTGCAGAAAAAGACGTACTTGGGATCGACACAGTCCTCAACATATCTAGCTCAATGCTGAAGCCTAAGATTGAAAACCCAATGGCCATGATTCTTGTACTCTTTATTCGCGACGTTGAGGAGATGTGGAAGAAAGACTCACTTGACAAAGACGTCGCTCGTGCTGCCAAATACCTCCCTGAACCCGAGACAACGGATTACAATGATGCAGACCTATTGAGAAATAGGAGATCAAGCTCTTTTTTCTGCAATGTCAGTAAGTTGTTCGATCTTTACAAAAAGTCTGCAGGGTTTGACGCACTCAGTAAATATGAGTTGAAGATGAGGGGCAACAACACAATCGTGGCCCACTGGCCAAATCGACCTGGAAAATATGCTTCCCAGGAGGTGTTTGATATCCTTGAGGCATCCGGCGCCACTGGCTGTGAGCGCTATGTCGAGTGGGAATGGGCATGATTATTCAATGTCTTCACATTGGAACTACCAAGCAGTCAGTTGCTAGGTGTGTATGTACAAGTATCTTCTTCTTTTTTGCTGTTCATCAATTCACAAATGGTATCATCGTTGTTCAATGTATCTATCCATCATGCGTTATCCTCTCTCCATATCCTCACAATAACCAATTTCTCCCACCCAGCCTGCATACCACTTGACCCCGCCGTCTCCGCGTGCCAACCACGCCAGCCACGAATACGCTCCATAACCTCGTCAGGCCGATTCTGCTTACAAAGTAAGACATAAGCCACACCACGCACGGAAAGCACACCAGGAATAGCATCAAGCAGCCTATCCGTAGTTTCCATACCATCCGCCCCGCCCGCATACGTCAACGACAAAAAGTACGAGTCATTATCGAACTTGGCAGAGCGAGACATGGCCTCTGAAACAGCAGGGTCATTTTCCGCCGCAGAAGGCAGACGCGGTAGATCCTCAGTCGGAACATAGGGTGGATTGAAGAGGAGGACATCAACGCTGCCCGGGCGAAGAGGTGTACACAGATCAGCTGTCAATGAAGAGATATGAACTGACTGAGGAGACGGCTGTTGCTCTGTCTGAATGGCTGTTGTTGCGGTCTTCCGCGTTGCGATGCAAGCATTGCGGTTCACATCAGTGCCTAGTGTGAGAATATCGCATCGGCCGAAGATCTGTTGAGACTGCGCGGCTGTGAAGGCTAGTACAACGCCGGAGCCTGTGCCTACTTCCACGACTAGTGGTGATGCCTCTTGGTTCTTTGGGAATCGTTCAGAGAGCCATTTTGATTCGGATGCTGATGACAATGTGTCTAGGAAGAGGTATGAGTCCTCGGATGGCTCGTATATGGTGTCAAAGGACACATGTGAAGTATCTGGCGTGGGAAGCATGGTGCATATGTTTAACAAGGCCAAGTTGCTTCTCAGAGATTCGAGGTTTATCGACTCTTCTTTTTCTGGAGATAGTGGGGTTATGTCGAAATTATATGTTGAAGAACACGCGATCTTGGCCTGAGGAGATCACAAACTTCATGAAAGAAAGCACCGATGTACTTAGAGGGTATATCCGTATATCCAATGTGAAGCAATTGAATGTAATCCAAAATATCAGCAAATGGCAGAGAAGGAAGTCCAAGTAAATCTTCCCGAGACATCCCGACCCGCTGATTCGCGCGTCTTCCTCGCCGCCTTTGCCTCGAAAATCCCCGGAAATTATGTCATTCCTTCCAAGTTGATCTTCCCTGAAATCACCTTCATATTCAAGATGCGTATTGCTCAGCGTTTACTTATGGCCACGCCGGCCTCGATCGGCTCGAAGTCCAGCCTCAGCGAGGCTCTCGCTCTCCTCCCGCCGCTGCAGCTTTACCGACGCATTCTACGCGTCCATCGCAAACTCGATCCCGAGATGCGCGTCTTGGGCGATTCTTATGTGAAGAATGAGTTCCGCGCGCATCGGAGTGTGGAGAATCCATTGCATATTGTATGTTTATTCTCGTCTGGGTTGCTGTGGTCATACCGAGTTGAAGAAGAGGGGAGACATAGCGGAAGAGGAGGAGCTTGTTGATGCAGCCACTAACATTGGCAATAATAGATTGGATTCTTGACTGAGTGGCAGCTGTATGCGCAGAAGCTGGAGGGCGATCAATGGGCGGGAGATAAGCTGGACAAGGCCAAGTTGGATAAGATGAGTGGTATGTTCTTGACTGTTGTTTGAGCTCCGCCTTGGTTGATCAAATTGCTAAACGTTGGTTTTATTGCAGATCAGCAACTTGGACAGTTACTCGAGCTTATGCAGGCTCTGAAGAACGAGGGAGAAGGGGAGACCCAATGAGTTGTCTATGATTGTATTGGACCGAGTTCGACGTTGATACTACCACCGCGAGAGTCGGTAACATGAACTTGAAAAAAAGAAATGAGGTCTGGACTGCCCGATTAGTCTAAACTGATCGTCGGGTGCAGACTGATTGATCTCAGGGCAGTCAGCCGTTCTAGTAGGGTTGTGCTGGGAGATGCAGGCATCTCCTATCCCCCCACCAGCGCATATGTACATACTAGGTGTAGGAATAGAACACGAGGGTTTCACTTGAGTTGACAGGTTTGACAATTCAGGTCCGCACCTAAGTTATATACTATGGATATGGTCTATGACTATATCTGGGACACGAATGTTGTAGGTGCGGAACAACTCCGAGAGATATCTGGTACGTTTCGCATATCCGGGCACATTGACGAGAAGGTGACCCCCTCCGTTCAAAAAAAAAAAGCAATTTCAGCCCTAGATCCGTCTACCATGTACTAGCACATCACAGAAGAACCGAAAATCAAACCACTGCCACATCAGTGGAGAACGCCCTGCCAATGACAAGCTGACTCATGCAAAATCGGCTTCCGATATGACGTGAAGATGGAGAAGAGGGTATATCGATCGTCAAATCCCCTTTAACCACTTTAGAATTTTGCAATTACCATTCTATCACAACTCATTCTTATGCCAAGGCCTGTCTCAACCCACACATCCCAAAGAACCTCCCCCATTCACCCAAAATGCCCTCTATTCTGGAAGACCCCTCGACCCGCAATCCCCCACCAAAAGCACACACAGATGCAGCGCCGACCCTAACGGCGAGGAAAACCACCCTCCCTAAGTCCTCATCTGCGTCGATGACGCTCTACCCCATCACAGGAGGACCGAAAACTGTTCCAAAGGACCTGATCAAATTCCTGCACGAGGAGTTCAGCGCGGAGATCCTCCGCGGCGGGACGTACCCGATGGAGCAGCCGATGGCGCTGGATCAGTTCGCTGACTATTGGTTCGAGACGTTTGCGGCCTTGGCGATCTTGGACGATGAGGGGGAGGGTCTAAGGGCGGGAAGGGACTGGAAGAGTGTTTGTATGGGAACTTTTTATATCAAGCCTAACTATCCTGGTATGTTGTTTTCCGTCACGTTCGGATTTAACTCCACCTGTATAGGAATAAAACACTGACTCTGATAGGCCGCTGCTCTCACGTCTGCAATGGAGGCTTTCTCACCACCACTGCCGCACGTGGCAAGGGTGTCGGACAGGCTATGGGCGAAGCCTACCTGGAATTTGCCCCCAGACTGGTAAGACTTGACCCCTGCCGGCTTTGCTCTTGGCTGCTGTTTCTATCAGGCACATCAAATGCGTGACTAACTCTTTTTGTAGGGGTACACATACTCGGTCTTCAACCTGGTCTTCGCTAATAACCCGGCCTCCATCCGTATCTGGGAGAAGCTAGGGTTTAGCGTTATCGGACGGGTTCCTAAGGCTGCGCGGTTGGCGAACAGTGAGGAATTGGTGGATGCATTGATTTTCGGGCGTGAGCTGGGAAATTGAAGTGGCAAGTTTCAGTTTTAGTTTGAACATCCATTCATGTCTGAAACATGAAGAATCACCGTTTCAAGTATATAGGATCGTGTTGTTACGAATGATGAACTTACGACGATGAACTACTCCATATACATGTAATATACTTGCATGAGAAACAGTAATGTCATTTCCAAGATCAAAGACACAACTAGATAAAACTACAAGGAATAATATTCACAGGGAAGAGAAGCGGAGTGGCAATCATTGAGACTCAAAAGAGAAAATAACCGCGAAATAGAGGACCCTTAACGCTCAGACCATACCATGCAAACAATAGGGATATCACGCAAAACTTGACTTGTCAAGATGATGGCTCCGCTTCACACTGACTGAACACCGATTAGGAAATCGAGATCGAACCGAGAGAGAAGGGAATGCACAAGTAAAAAGATAACACATAGATAGAACATAGATAGAACATGGTCGTAGAAGTGTAGATAGAAGTCGGACGGTAAGGAGGATAGAATGGGAAAGATGGAGAGAAGGTGGTGAGGGTTAGAGGTGACACAGGTGTAGCTAAGGAACGGTGTGAAATATAAACTCGTTCCCACTAGCGCCACCGTGGACGCGTATCCACCTTTGGCGCTGCCGGCTCTTTCTCCGTTCGCTTGGGAAGCGGGAGTAGACTGGTTCGCCTGTTGCTAGAATGGCCTAGCGATGTACCTGGTCGTGACGATTTGCTTGGGCTCTCCATCCCACCTGTAGCTCCTGAAACACTTCGACTGAAAGCTGTGGGTGGGCCCGCAAAACTCTGGCGACTGCGAGGTGTGCTTGATACCACTGACTGTCGATGGAGCCGGCTGTACGGCGGTGGGTCGAGGAGCGAGGACCGCGCAGGGGTGGGAGAGGACACGTTCCGATTGGGACTCCGAGAACCAAAACGGCTCGAGACGCGACTGGTTGATCGAAGACCGCCGGGAATCGGGGATGCAGACGTCTCTCGTCGGAGAGAGTTGGGGAATGGAATTGTTGATGATGGCCGGGGTGTGCGGGCGAGTGGTGCGGATGACTTCCGCAATGTCGAGTTGTAACTAGTAGCCGTGTTATTCAGGTTCGTACTGGGGTTCCAGCGTGGGCGATTGGGAATAGTAGATGGCGGCGCTGGTGTACGAGAACGAGCGGCCGGGGTCGATGTGAAGTAGTTTGAGGATCTGTATGATGGAGTAGGAGACACCAAGCTCGTCGGCTGGGGGATTCCGGACTTTCTACCGGTGTAAGGCGCCGTGGGCTGCGGCAAGCTGGAATAACGACGGTTTTTGGGCATAGTTGAGCGGGCTGTGGCACTGCCGACTGAACTTTCGCGACGGCTTGACCCGCCCATTGGCGTCGAGGCGCTGTTGTACCCGTTGCCGGTCATGATGACTGACGACGCAGGCGAGCTTCCTGGGGTCTCGATGGCACTGCCTGTGGCTGGACTGTCCATGGTGAGGATGCTGGAGATTGAGTCTCGTAGCTGGTGGCCCTTGGTAATGTGCACATCTTCGAGAGATGTATCCATTACCTTAGCGCTAGCCTTGAGAGCATCCGTTCGGGATGTCATGTCGGATAGCAGGCGCAGAATCTCGCCATTAACAGTCAATCGGTCGTTGACGCCCTTTTGGATGATGGAAACCACACGCTCAATAGCAGGAACATAATGCATCTTCTTGGCCTCATAGTTTTCAATGAGCTTGGTCAGTGTTGACGGGCTGTGCACCTGCATGCCGCTTTCCAGCCCTTCTTGTAGCTTCCCAATGCTGCGTTCAACCGATTGAAACATCTTTTGTGCCTGGGCCCCAGCATTGCGGAAAACCAGAATCCATTTGTCTTCCGCCAACTCCTTCAGGAGAGCTTCGGCATCGGTCTCAAGAACTTTATAGCTCTTCTCCAAGTGGTTTCGCCGGTCCTCAATCTCCTCACATGCACTCGGGAAAATGGTTTCAGCGCGTGCCTGGAACATTGAGAGTCGCATGGGCAAAAACTCCAACGATGCTTTCAATGGCTGCATACGTGCAAAGATAGCCATGAGGTTAGAGTGGCTGGTATCGTCCTGCGGTGTTTTGATAACGGGAGTGTCAGACGCCGAGGCCAAGAGAGGTCCAATACTCAGACGGTTCTGCGAGTGTCCGCGGCCCTTGGTGGGGGACTCTTCCACAATCGTCTCCAGCTCATTGATGTCAAGGCCGCCACTGGTCTCACCCGTATCCATCAAAGCCTGATGCCGCTTCTCTTCCATCTCGAATATCAGCCCGCTCAAGTTGTCAACTTCCACACCCACGTCGCCCAAAACGTTCGACCAAAGCTCTTCCCACTCCATTGCCAACTCAACCTGTTCTTTTACGCCTTTCAGCTTTTTCTTGATCTGAGTCCAGTTTTGCAGAATGCTCTCCATCTGGCTCACGATAGTATTCAAGCTATCCACGTCCACATTGGCAATGTCGTCTCGAAGTTGGACATTCTCAATAGCCCTGACATACACATCGACCAGGGACTCGAACCGCGTGATTGCTTTATCGACTTCGTCTAGCCCTTCCCGGCCACCAGCCGCAGCCCACTCCACGTCGTCTTCAGAATCTAAGCCGCTCAGCACATCTGAGGCCTTCTTGATCCAAATCTGAATTTGCTCTGCGGCACCGTTCAAGGCCCGGACAGCAGCCAAAGCTGTGGAAATGTTTTCGATGCTTGCCTCGAGCGAGGCTGGCTGTGGGAGAGGAATGGAGGTTAGCTGCGAGAGCTGGTTGCTGAAGGAGGCACGGGAGAAAGAGTATATTGATTCTGCGCGCTGCAAGCCCATTGGGTTGAAATACGATTGGGAGTTGGATGAAGAGCGCGAGTGTACAGCGTCGATGGGAGGCGTGTCTTTGGGAGGTGGTTTGGGAGCGGACTCCTCTTCAGCGGACCGTTCCTCTCTTCGTGCGGTATCATCAACATATTTTTCGAAGTCGGTCCGGTCATCTTGAACGTCGTTGGAAGCTTGGGGGCTCGACATCGGGGCTGGGCGCAGCTGCGCGAGAACCGGCTCTGCGACAGACATGGGTGTGGGTGGGCTGATGTCTTCCACGGGCTGGGCAGTTGCCGGAACAACAGTGGTGGCCGGAGTGGGCAGTTCAGGACCGTCCACGACTGCTTCAGATGACTCTGGGTTCTCTCTTCGCGCGTCTGCAATCTCTTGGAGGATATCGTGGTGTGGTAGCTCGAGTTGGTTCGACACGCTCCGCTTGAACACCTGGGTTTGTCCGGGCGATATGTTCGTACGATTCCACGCCTGGCCTTTTCTCGTTACCTTGATCGATAAGTCTTGGTGGAGATTATCAAGCTCCTTCAGGTGCTCTTCGGGGATCCGACCGACTGCATTGGCTTGCCGGTTCTGCGCCGCAGACTTATTACTGCTGTCCAGCAGCTTGACCCGAGCTGCGAGGGCAGGAGAAAGTCGGCGGAGGATGGATGTTCGGCCGGCGCTGGTCGGCTCAGCTGGGGCAGGTTCTTCTTCGTTGTTGCTGCTCCCTAAGCTCCACAGGGACGATTTGGACTTCAGGCGTCGGAGTGTGGAGGTGCCGGAGTCATTTGGAGAGACGGAGAGCGCGGGGGTGAGCGACGGGGGGGATGTTGGTGTTGTGGATGTGTTGGGGGGATGCGTCGCGCGGTCGGTCGCAAAAGTAGGACTGTCGGCTGTGGCATGCATGGAGACAGGCCCTGGGGGGATTGAAAGAGCAAAAGGACCAAAGGATGGGGTTTAGACAGGGATACAAGGAATGTTTCGTCTTGTTCGGTGCTCGGTAACGGTGAGTCCCGTTTTCACGGATCAAGGCCGGCTTTTTGGCTGTTCAAGAGTTGGAGAGAAATGCGGCTACATGACAAAACTTAATAGAGGTTCTAAATGCAAGGTCTCATGAACTTGAGGGAGATATCGGGCAGCAACCGTTGAAACAAATGAAAAGAGGGATAAAGTGGCCATGGGCCGTTTACTCTGCAGAATGGGGTACCTCCAGCCCCGTACTACTAACTATGGGGCCCAATGTACCCCCTCGGTATGTAATTCAAGGGGATCAGCGAAATGAAATCATTTCACTTTGGTTTTGTTTTCCTTTCGTGCTCTTTATTTTCATTATTTCAATGGTTTCGGTTGAACAGCATTCTGTGTCTCTGCTAGCACATAGGCCTGTAAGTATATCAACGTTAAATCTTAACTCCAACCCTTATACTCCGTACATATTGTACATATATTGTACACCCTCTATGCACGAGGTTTGTCGATCAGGTCAAAGTACTAGACATATTAATTAGAAATCAACGCCCAAGGGAGTTAGTTCCTTATTTGCATATTCGGATCAGCACCCATATGTCCTAACACGGGCTGAACACAAAAGAAAGACACCACGGGATGAATGTCCAAAGCTTCAAATGATGATGCATGTACGCGTCTATGGAATGAAACACAAGTAGTAAGCTGTACAATAAATAAAATTTTAAAAGAGACCAGTCAAGAAAAAACCAAAATATGCGGAGGCAGAACAGTCTGCGACAATTCAGGGGTATCGTATCAAGTGCCCATAAAGGTATCAAAGAGAAAAAGAAACAATCGAGATGCAAACATGAACTTCCAACACTTCAATACTTCAAAAACTGCCCTCAAATCAACCCAGCACTCGGGGGTCGCCCAGGGTTAGCTGCCTGCCAATCGCGCACCAGCTCTTCCCGGACAGTTTTGCACCAAGCAAGCAGTGCAGTATCGAACAGCTTCCAAGCGGCAGCGCCACTATTCTGTACAACACCCATAACATCGACATCCAGCCGGAGCTCCCACCGGAGTTGTGCGGCTTTTACCCAGAACTGAAGATTCTCAGTCTGCCGGTACGGCTTGGCAATGTCCAGGTGGTAAGCCGTGATCTCGCCAAATTGACGTTTAGACTTCTTGATCGCAAGGTTGTGTAACTGAACCAGGGCACGGCCGTCCCGGAACCTATCGAGAAACGCGGTGGGAAGGGAGTCAGCGGGAGCCTCCTCAACCGGTGTCCAGGTCGGTAAGGAGTCACCGCCAGGCAACAAGCTGCGCAGGAAAGATTCCTCGCGTGAGCGCTCACGGCCTCTCCAATCGCCCGCAGCCCAGTCCCAGTTCTGCCGCTCTTGAGCTTCAAGGTCCTCTAGCGTTTTCTCACGGATCAGCATGGTGCGCACAGCCGCGATCCACCCCTGAATCCGCCCACGTTCCTCCTCTCGCAGACCACTGGCAAAATGCCGTGCAGCCCATCGCTTCAAAACTTCCAGGACATCAAAAAGTTCCTTGCGGATCAACCGTTCGCTCTTTATTGATGATAAGCGCTCTGGGTTCTCGTGGGTGGTATAGTAGATCTTGGCTGCGCGGATTGCATTTGTAACATCGTCCAGGATGCACATGCCCTGCGCCTCCTCCTTATTCATTGGGGTCGGGGCCTGCCCGGATTGTTCATCCTCGTTTGTATCGGGGATATCACCAGGAGAAAGACTTGACCGGAGGATTGGGCGGGGAGGAGGCTCCGCGCCATTTTCAATTGCCTCGATATTAGCCTCTGCCTTATCTAGCGCAAGCGTAAGCTGCCGGCGCAAGAAAGTCAGATCAGGCGGAGGTGGGATGTGGTGCGTTTTGATGCTGTATGTGCTGACTGTAGGCGGCAGCATCACCTCAGCCTCTTCGTTCTCGAATTCACCCTCAGCCGGGTCCGCCGTATGTGATGGGCTCGCGACCATATCATCATCCATGTGTCGTTGATTAGGGGTTATAAGGACTCGTGGCACATTATCCCTATTCTTCTTGCCCTTTTCCCACTCGCGGCCCCTCCCGCTCTTCCCGTCCAGTAGACCCGTCCGCGCAAAATAGTATTGTAAGTGGGCGATACTGCCGAGACTCATGACGCTGTCGCGGTGGCGGGCCGAGTCCGAGAACTCAGCACCCAATGCACGGGTATATCCATGGCGGCGGGATGATGTTGAGACAGATGATCTGGCATCTCCGGAGGTGGCGGAGGAGGTGGAGCGGGAGGACTCGGACGAAAATGTGCGGTCTGGGGAGGAATATGAGGAGATAGCTGGCGTTGCCGGGATAGATGGCGACGGCGAGGAGGCCCGAATAGATGCTGTCACCTTGGAGTCCATGGACCGTCGGGGCACGTCCATCTTGTTTGAATTTGAATTCTTGAGCGTGGCCTGTTTTACCGGCTAAATTTGGCGGATCTGGGTCGCGTGAAGATCAATCACTAGAACGTGCACAATGACGGGGAATATTCTGCGGGGGGTGATGTGACGTTAACAATGAGGCCTGGGCGATCCCAGACAAGCAACGGCTTTTATATAAATGGATTAATGAAAGGACGAAGGTTTAATGAGACCTACAGGATCGACGGGCGAGAAACTGCTTTGGGGCTAAAAGGGGGGCTTCGACTAACAGGGACTAAAAGGGGAAGCGGGTCAACCACATGGAGTTGAAAGAGAGTGTGTTCCTTTTCCACCAAAATGAACCAATAAGGCCAGTAAGGCCCCTTTCTTTTTGCGATTGTCCATTGTTGGAAGTTATAGGGCTACATTAAATGCTGTATACTTCCCAAGGCCTCGAACATCGGGTGTTCCTGAATTGCCTGGTTGGGTTTAGCTTGTGCCCCGCGTTCCATGGTTTGCTTCAAGGCTTGGAACAGGCACATGGGGGTACATGTAATTGTATTATTGTACACATACAACTTCAATGTTGGAAAAGAGAGAGGAGATGCTATTCAAATGACCAATGACCCTTTCTAAAGCCCCATCTTTTTCAAACGCCCTGTAAAAATGCGCGCTTTGAATGCCTCACGACTTCCCCGTTCTTGGTTCACCCATAAAGATCTCGTTGCGATCCCAACCCTCTGGCCTCAGGTTATCAATGCCCTTCGTGGGGTGGCTTATGCTCGGATCGGTGTACTCAATCTGGTAGGGGTTGGGATCCTTAGTCTGCTTGAGGTTTGCGAGGGTGTGATTGACCTCGCGATGCTTGGCTTCGTCGGCGCGGATGAATAACAGCAGGTCCTTCATTTTACGCTGACCCTCCGGCATTTGCCAGTATTTGATCGCAATATCGGGTGCATCGAGATCGTTCCACTCTGGCAGATTGCCAGCCTCCAGTTCGTCAATAGCACGGGTATAAGTAATGACAGCCTCCTCCTCAAGGTATCCCACGAATCTATGGCAGATGCGCGGGGAGATCAGGTATGACAGGAAGAAGCCGTTGAAGAAGACACCTTGGGCGCCGATGACCATCACCCGCATGAACCAGCCTGGTTCGGCCAATTTCAGGAAGGTAAGCAGGTGCATGCGTTCGTTGAATGCTTCTTCAAGAAGGCTTTCAATCCTAGATCAAGGGAAGTGGGTTAGCATTGAGGTAATATGTTGGGAGTTTGAATGCGTACCATCCATTGTCTCTCTTCATCCTGCGAAGACTACGAAGATGTCGCAGCATGCCGCCCACCATCCCGGGAACACCGGCTATACTTTCCAAGAAAATAAACCGCTTGAGCCATTTTTCCTCAGTCATTTTGAACTTGGGCGGTAGTTCCTCGCCGGGCTTGGGATGCTTGTATCCTGTCGCCGTGTCCACGACCCATCGAAAGAAGCGTACAGCTCCTAGGGCAGCCCAGTCGGACCAATTTGAAGTTTGTCTGTGGGCAATGCGAATACTTCGCATTTGCGACTCGGTGTATCTGGCATAGATTTAGTGTCCGGCTCGGATAGAGCAGCTGGGATATACTTACACTGGATGCACCCATGTTGTTTGCACCTCCTTGACATTTGGAGTCTCTGGTGCTGGAAAGTAATCTTTAATCTGGCTCTTGGGTGTTGACGAAATAGGGCGCTTGGATGTGAGGCTGAATGTGGATGTGCGCTTGTTGACCCCACATGGAGCATTGAACGTTGTTGCTACAACGCCCGAGTAGGTTCGTACGGCCAGGTGCAGGTACTGCGGCCTTGCTGCAGCCCGCAGGGGAGCCCTCACTGATAGTGTATTCATGATGTAACCAACGAGAGAGAGTTTTGAGGTCGGTCACGATTGAAGACGATGAAGCTATTCAGGTATTGAATGTATCCAAGGACGAATATTATGAGGCGAAGAAAAAGGTTAAGAATATACAGGAGAAGTTGAAGATGATTGTGGTTGAGAGAGATGAAGGTGACTCCCAAAACCCAGAAAGCTTTAAATACTCATGTACATAACCTACGCAATCCTTGGGTGACGAATAAAACCAGGGACATTTCCAAAGAAAAAATGGTCAAAGAAAACCCACCGGAAATGCTTAGATTGTACCTGGGAAGTTGATAATGACATCCCGTATACTTCATCGCTCCAGGATTCAGGTAACTGGGTGTTTCCTTTCCATCGGCCTCTCATAATATCACTTGTCCCTCAAGACCATATCGCTGTTGCAATACTTGAACAAGAAGCGAACATATCAGACTTCCCATTATCCCTGCGAGATATTCACACGTTCCATATCACCAATGCTATTCTTTCCTCAACAAGTGCTTGCTAGCAGGTGACGTCGGAAGGGACCGGGAATGGCGATATGACTCAGCCCGTAGCCCGGTCCTGCCCTACAGGCGTTTTGCATTCAATCCCGAGAAATATCCGACATCAAAGCCCGGAGGGAATTTGAGGTCATTTTCTGTTCTCGGGATCTTGAAATATCCATTTCTTCTATTTCACCGGCGACTGAATAGACGACTAGTTGGTAATCTGAGAAAAGGAGAAAATCCCCTCCCGTTTCCTGCCGATCAAAGCACATGCACAGCAATCTTACTGGATTTCGGTGTGAAATATCTATAATAGATTGATGCATACATATGTATATAAATAGCCTATCTAGTGTCCTTGTCCACAAGCTAAAAGCCGTCACTCGTTTTCTACGGCAGATTGCTACAATAAGAAATCATTCTTCCCCTTTTAGCCTTTCGCTGTTACACCGTGATATACCACCTTATGTATGTAAACCAAGCTATTTAGCTTTAGCTGTTTGATATGGCTGGAAATTCTTATATTCTAGAAACCATAGTGCCGCATCGCCAAAAAAAACCCTCCGAGCGCCCTGGCTGGTATTGACTACTAATAACAGGCATATCTGTTTCAATATACATTTCTCTCTATGCAGCTAAGGGAGCAACAATAGCTTTACGGTCAACAATCAAATAAAACGCTTTCCCAATATGATGAATTAGAAGAGCATCTCTGGCTATAGCCTCCATTGGTGCTTTGATTGATTGTAGTAGAGCGAAAAGAAGTCAAATCCTAATTCCCAGGTTTGAACATGGACTCTGCTGTCCGCATCACAGCAAATCCCTCCTCGTCACCGCGCACGTCCAAGTCCCGCTTCTCCAGCTTCACCACATGAGCCCTAGGAGGACCCTTATCGATGCGCTGGAGGAATCTCTGCACTTTTTCGTCGCTGCCTTGAGCCTCACCTTCAACCTGATAAGACCCAGTAAGCGCTATGTCCACAGAGACACGACAGGGCATCACTCACTCTTCCGCAAGTAGTATTCCTAACCCAGCCCTTGAGCCCATCGAGTTTAGCACATTTTTGGGCGAAGTCTCTGTGGTGCGAGGTAGTCACTGGTTAATCGATGGACTATGATGTCACCTCTTGCGACGGGGGATATTTCCTACCGGAAGCCGACACCTAGGGGTTTATGTCAGTGACAGAGTGAATGGTAGTATTTGAAGATTATGGACAAGTCCATGAGGTCGACCCACCTTGAACGGTGCCGTGGACTTTGAAAGCAACCTGAAGTAGATAGAATATCAGCAGGGAATCTTGTGGCTCTCGATATTCTGCGGGCTGGCGATGTGCATAGCTAGGGCTGACTGGGATATATAGTGAAAGACATACTCGAATGTTTGACATTTTGGATGAAAAGTGGGTTTGGTTGGAGAGTTGGAGGATGTAGAGTTGAAGTTTACAAGGTTGATGTCCAAGCCTGGAGAACACTGTGGGTAGCCCCAGCATAACGGTTGATATACAATCCTTCTCTTTCAGAGGGCCAAGATTATAAACAGATACAACATCTACTTGGTGGTATACTACCATTCCAAGTTCCTTCTTTACTTGATCTTCTAAGTCTATACATAATTATTTCATTCACAGATCTTGGGACTCGATTGCCTATAAGCTACAACCTGCGTGTTTGGCCCCCGCAAAGATATACTAACCTCAAAGGTTAAGCCCTGTTTATATCATCGCAATAGCGTGCTCTGTATCGGACATTGAATCTGTTTCCACGGGTATCAACGGGGAGACGAATACCTGGGCCTTGGCTGTACTCGATGTGATATTGGCTGGTGCTGATTGGGTCCGCACAATGATCTACAACCTTACAAGGGTAGACAGTTCCTCGATTATTTTGATATAAAATGGAAATCAATTTTATTTTGACTTTAGATTGGAAAAATTATTAGTTCCGTGTCGAGATAGGATATAGATGAGGCCACCTGCCAAGTGGCGGTCCTCGGCCCCTGAGTAAACATTGGAATCTCAAAAATCTCCCGAGTTCAACTTCTCCAACCTGCGCCGGCCATGCTACTGGTATAAAATGCCCTCCATTTTCGCCTGGCTTCGGCGGGTCTACTCGCTAGACACCCTTGACACTCGTTTTACCTCTTCCGCAACCCCTGCCCACGCCAGCACACGACCTCCTTCCAAAGATGCCCGTGCCAATGCAATCGCCCAAGGCGCGTCACCTTCACTTTGGCGCACACCAGAGTTCTTTGTCTACTACTTGTTCTTTATTATCCTTGTCCCATTGATGTTCAAAACTGTTATCGATGTCTCGAAGAGTGAGTGCAGAGCAGAGAAAATGCTGGGCCTCGAAATTCTGACAGAGGATCAACGTCACAGAAAGCCACCCGGTCTACTCCACATACTCTCACCTTTTATCCCCCGGTTGGATCCCTGGTCGTCAGGTGGTAAGTGCGAAACACTCGGCGTTCAGCTATCCACATCCATGAGGCCAGTTCCGACTGACACTATTGCTGCAATTCCTTTAGGACAACTCCGATGCGCAATATGAAAGCTTTCGCGACAATATCCCTTCACTTCTACTACTCCTAATCGCCCATCCTCTGGCTCGCCGTGTTTATCAGTCGTACATGAACCGCTCGAACGCCGAAACAAAACAATCAAACCATTCCGTGATTGCTGCGGGAGAGGCGCAACTTGAACAGCGAATGCGCTTCGACTTTTGGTTCGGACTGGTCTTCATAATAGGGCTTCATGGAGTATCCGCTTTCAAAGTGTTGTTAATTCTGTATATCAACTTCCGAATCGGCAAGGATGTTCCGCGTTCCTACGTGCCTACCGCCACATGGATCTTCAACCTCGGCATTTTGTTTGCCAACGAACTAAGCGGTGGCTACTCCCTTGAGCGGATAGCGAAGGTGTTCGCTCCGGGTTCTGGGACATCAGAAGATGGCGCTACCGTGCTAGTCCAATGGGCTCAGACTCTAGATAATCTTGGGGGACTGATGCCGCGATGGGAGGTCCTTTTCAAGGTCACGGTGTTGCGCCTCATCAGTTTCAACATGGATAACTACTGGAGTGTAGACTACCCTGCGGCAAGTCCGATTGAAGTAAGTCTTCCCATGTTCGATAAGCTATCAAACCCCATATGACAACCAAACTTACCGAATTCTACAAGAAGAAGCAACTAGACCCTGCGAACCTATCTGACCGTGACCGGGTCAAGATCCCCGCAGAACCAACTGCTTTTACGTTCCGCAACTACATCGCCTATGTGCTCTACTCACCTTTGTATCTGGCCGGTCCGATCTTGACATTCAACGACTACGTATCCCAACAGCGATATACATCGGCGTCACTCACTCGAGCCCGCATCACGATGTACGCCATCCGCTTTGGCCTCACCCTGCTCTGCATGGAGCTTATCCTCCACTACATCTATGCCGTAGCAATCTCCAAAGCTGACCCAGACTGGTCCGTCTTTACCCCGGCGCAGCTCAGCATGCTTGCCTTCTTTAACCTGCACATAATCTGGCTGAAACTCCTCATCCCCTGGCGATTCTTCCGTCTTTGGGCCCTCGTAGACGCGATCGACCCACCAGAAAACATGGTCCGCTGCATGTCCAACAACTACTCCGCCTTGGCCTTTTGGCGTGGCTGGCACCGCTCCTACAACCGCTGGATCGTCCGCTACATCTACATCCCACTGGGCGGTGGGGGTGGTGGACGGCGGCCCCCCGGGGCACCCAAACCAGCTTCACCTGCTCAGTCCAACCTCATGGGCAAGTTCTTGCAAATTCGCAACTTCCTGCTGGTCTTCACCTTCGTCGCCTTATGGCACGATATCAACCCCCGTTTGCTCATGTGGGGTTGGCTTGTTACTCTCTTCGTTCTACCAGAAGTTTTGGGCGGCATGCTTTTCCCCGCCCACCGCTGGCGCTCCCGTCCCAATACGTATCGTGTCATCTGTGGCATTGGCTCCGTTGGGAACGTCCTTATGATGATGATCGCCAACTTGGTCGGCTTTGCCTTGGGTCTGGATGGATTAAAGGATCTGCTTGCTGGCCTAACGGGCTCATACTCTGGCCTCGCGTACATGGTTTCCTGCTGCGTAGTACTTTTTGTCGGCGTACAGGTTATGTTTGAGGTTCGCGAAGACGAGCTGCGCGCGGGCATCGATTTGAAATGTTGAGTCTTTTTTACATATTTTAGAAGATCGATTGTGCGTACAGCTCGGCTATAATGAGATGAATACGAACACAGATTTTGCCTTGGATGATCTCGCATAATATTTATATTGACTGTTGTACAGTTTTTGGTATCAATTCATAAAGTCATCAGTAGAACAGGACCAGGCCAAGCTCCTTCTCAATAGTATAGTATACACACCAAAGCGCACCAAGTCTCCTAAAAGAAAGCACCACACCTCGAATCCTCATGAACCTTATAGCAACCCAAGCTACAAGTCCTCAAATGACAACTCTTGCACCGAATCTTCCCCCAATACCCACACATACAACAAAAATGCCGCCCCGGCCGCCCCGACCCCTGCGGCTTCGCACGCGACGCATTATAAGACAGCGGCGGCTCCGCCAGCAGCCGCTGCATAATCCGATCAGAAGGGACAGGGGGCGCATACGAGCGCAGAAGGGGATCATTATCATATTCGGACTTGATAAGTTTCGGTTTTCGCGGCTCATCGTCGACATCCGTTTCAGCATCCGTAGTCTCCTGCGCAGGCGTCGACGAACCAGTTGTCGTACCCATGGCCGCCGAGGGACGTTTGACACCTGCCGTACTAGCCGGTGTCGCGCTGCGCCGCACAGCAGCAGCCTTGTTTCCCTTGGCTGCGATGACGCTCGCGCCTCCCGCGCCTTGCATGCCTCCTACACCCCCGCTGCCCGAGGCGATTGCTGCTTCTTCGTCATCAAGGTGGTTCCGGAAGGTCTTTTGGGACTGGAGGATGCGTCGGACGTTCGAGGTGGTCTTTGCTCGCGTGCCGCGTGCGCCGGCTTCGCGGGCTTGTTTCACTGGTGCTGGGATGGCGACATCGCGCTGGTTCTCGCGGTCTAGTTCGGCGAGGTGGCGTGCGATCGCGTTCGCTTGTCGGGAGGAGATGTCGCCGCCCTTGCCGGCGTCGCGGATGCCGCGCTTGCGGCCTAGGGTTGGGGCCATCGCTTGCGCCGGGTCGAAGCCCCGGGTTGGGGCGTAGGACCAGCCTGGTGTGGCCGTTGAGGTGTCTGAGACGAGTTCGACGCGGAACATCTTGGGAGAATTTGGCCTGTGGGGATGTTTTGGTGATGCGGAAGTGGATGATGGTCCCGGGGAGTTCGTTGGAGACGATAAAAATGTTTGTCTTGTTTGCAGTGGAGTTCGGGGTCATGGAGTACAATAGGTATACAGTACAGGACTAGTTAAAGTAGTTGGTCAATTCAATGTTATTTGGAAAGAAAATGCTGGTATTCAAAAAGTTGATACTAATTTCATGCAAAATAGGGAAGAAAAAGTTATGCCCTGGCCATCAAAGAGTGGTAATGGACTTCATGTTCAGGGTTGACAAGCTTCATGCACAGAAAACAAACCCACCCAACACCTCCAAGCCATAATAAATAGCCATAATAAATACAAATGGAAAACACGTTGATCAAGTACTTATTTCTTCTTGTGCAGCTGATCAACTCTGGTTTCCAGTTCTGTGATATATGACTGGAGCTGGATGGTAGCCTTTTGAAGAGCCTATAAAGCAGACAATCAGTTCTGCAAAGATCAAAATTCAAAGAGGAAATAGGGAGGTCCTCCCAGAGACACAGCGTTTGAGACGTACCGCAATGTCATCAGACAACATCTCATTGGCGAATCGGTACTCTGCTAGGATGTAATAGTACACCGACGCGCCGGCGGCGACAGATCCAGTCAGGAACCCAAAGACGCTATCAGACATTAGCAATAGAGCTTAGAAAGGCATGGCCATTTGAAATTGAATGTCATTAGAAACAAGAGAATCTCTCATACCCTCCTCGGAAAGCTCCAACAGGCTTGCTTGATGGTAGCGGCGCGGCGGACTGCCAGCGGGCGCGGGAGGATGAGAAGGACCGGATGCCGACGCGTCCGCGCAAAGGGAGAAATATCTTTGTGCCAACAGGCATATTGACAATAATATTTCAAATGTGGACGGGAGATTTATGGATTATTTGGTGGAAGGTGGTGGCAAGGGGAGATTGTTGGAAGTGACGTTGATGGATTGCGGAGGTTCGGGCGGCTCGGAACGTGGAGACCTGAGGCCTTTTGTATACAGAGAGGGAGTACAACCACCCAAAAAGAATGTGTTTGGAATTGTTCCAATGCAATATGTAGCGAGAAAAATAAATTACGTGATTTATTACTTCGCCTAATTGGCCATTGTACTCTCGTTGAAGAGATCCGCCAACAGATCGTTTCGGCACACTGCCAAATCTACGCTGCCCATGCTGTACGTACTCTCAAACACATAGATGCTCAATCGAGCGAAGAATGGTCGCAGGACCCTCTCGACAATATCGTCCTTGGGTGTCTCCCGGATCCAGTCCGAGATAAGCCATGGCCGCTTAAGGCTACTGCGAGCCTGGGGCTCGATGACCTCCGTGGGGACAGTGGGTGAGCCTGCACCGCGTGGGCCGAAAGTCTGAGAAACTTCATCTGCCAGAGCAACGGGCTCCCAGCGGTCTGGCGGATAGACCGCATCAATCGTGTCGGTTACGAAAAGCCATTCGAGGAGCTGGAAGTCGTCTGGGGCGAGGACAACCAATATGTCGAGAAGCTTGCACGCCTGAAGCAGCGAGTAAGAGTTGTAGAGCTCCGGCTGAGAGCCCTCGGGTACTGCAGAGATCGCTTCCTGCAGTTCCGTGTTGATCAGGGGCCAGAATGGCGCCATGGCGGAGGTAGAGGTCTTGAGCGCGACTGCTCGAAGAACCATGAACACTTCCGCCCGTGTGGCAGAAGATGGCGATGAGGTGCTGGTTGCTGCAAGAAGATCTTCCAGTTTCTGAAGCAATGCTGGCAATTCACCAACAAAATAATCACCGCTGGCGGAAAGCAGAAGTAGCGCAATTCGTCGGAGGTTGAGCTGCGCTTTGCCATCAGCTTCCAATCGGGCCGCAGAGGCTCCTACGCCGAACATTATGCCAGCTGAGCTTGGTGGTGGAAGGCGGACAAGAAGTTCGGGTAGCCGTTCCTTGTCGGCGAGAACCCACTGGCGCAGCAGGTCCATCCAGCTGTTCTTCACCAAATCCAACTGCAGGCCAAAGAATCGGGCGTCATTGAATGCGTCGGATATGTCCTTCTTCCACACTTTCGCCGCAGCTGGTACTTTTGCCATTTGCTGTAGAAGAACCATGACATTGCGGTTGAGATTGTTAGGGAAGAGACGTGACCGAATGAGAGGGCCCACTACATTAGTCGAGACACTAGTAATGGCGGTGTTGATCCGATCTGAATCACCCAGGGTCGTGATAAATGACGGCATAGAGACCGCTAGAATGCTCAGCATGTCATCGGGTCCAGTATGAGAGACCGAGGTACGATCATGTTCTACCGAAGATCTTGCCATAGGCCCAGTGTCGTGGTTGAGGCCTAGGGGCTTGCTGGTAAAGACTGCGGTAAGGAGTCGTAGGAGAACATCCTGCGTTATAACTGTTAGCGACTACGATGAAACCAGCAGTGAATACACATACTCCAAGTTCCTTTCGCATACGGCGGTCTTCGCCAAAAGTTGTATTCTCCAGTTTCACCCCCAGAATAGCCGCGAATTCAATCAAACGTGGAAGAATCTGCCGGTGTGGGAATGGATTGCTAAGGACATCGCGCAAGAAAGTTGTGCAGTCCGTCCAAATCTCGTCAAGGACATCGTCGTCCAGTGAGCGGGCATAAGTAACCAAAAAGCTAGCTAGCTCGGACTCAGAGAGATTGGACGTCAACGAAGACTTCCGGCTAGGATCCAAGGCACTAGGGTTAGTGCGAGTGTAGATTGCATTGAAAATGGCAGGGATGGTGATCTTTGGGCTTGACCCATCGAGTGTATGGAGAAGATTGAAGATAAGTGACGCTGTCTCCGTATCAGCCTTGGTCCACATTTCCACCAAGGTCTCAAGACATTCGAGTGCCTCTGCGGTGAAAAAGTGCTCCAAGATTCGCCGTGAGCGGTTTCTCATCCGCAACGAGGTGTATTGAAACGAGGCTAGAGATTCGCAATCGGGGGGAGAGTCACTGTGATCTCCCGCACCCCACGCCCAGATGGAGAAGCACAGGCGAACGGCATCTTGGAAACAGAGAAGAACAGTCAGGCGGTCGTTAGCGGTATTTGGGCGACCTTGCCCGCCTTCCGAGTTGAATACCCCAGACACCATGTTTCCGAAAAAGCCCTGCGGTTGGTCAGGGCTCTTGACTGTTGGAACATTGGACTCCTCCGCAATGAGACGTTCGTGGGCATTTGCGATACAGTTCTCGAGGCCAGTCAGAAGAGCAATTGTGACATGCTCGGAACGGTCCTGCGGCCAATCCTCTGTTTGCTGGAAGGACAGCTGAAGTCTGCCATATGATGCTCGAATTTCCCTGCAGAAACATTCTACAAGCATCAATAGGATCTGGAAGATGGAACCTGAGTATAGAGGGAGCACCTCACAGAGCAAGACTATCCACTTGTCCACAATTTCTCGGGATTTAGGTGAGCTGATTCCCTTTAAAAGACAATCCAGAAGTCGCTCTGGCGGCTGCGGTAGCTGAGGGAGCGACTGTCTCCTGTCTCCCTTGTCACTAGTGAAAGACAAGATCGAAGGACTAGTCAGCCGATCTCGAGAGCTAGCTCTTAAATGTTTTGGCCGAGGTGGCGGCGGTGGTAGATATGCTTGCGCAAATCGCACCTTCAATGCAGCAAGCAGCGCGTCGATTAGTGCACCTTGCACCGCAATACTGCCCCCCTCGGAAGAGACAAGAAGGCGCTCCACCAAGAAGTCATCAATGCCAGACTCCACTAATTCCTCCGCTCCGGGCCCAAGAAGAAGCTGCTGCATGAGCTGGAGTGCGTCCTTATGCAGTCGTTCTCCATCTAAGTTGAATTCCATAGGAGCTGGTGACAGTGTGTTGACGATTCGAAGAGATGCCTCAAATATCGCAGAATGGAGGCTTTTGAAGTCTGCATTATCTACTAAGAATCCATATTAGCAACAATTGTTTCGTGAGAGGACGAATTACCCACCTTCAGGTTTGGATGCTTCAAGACGTTTCTCGTTGCCTAGCACATGAGTAAGAAGTGCGATCCATCCATTGTGCGAAAGCGCGGATATGATATTTGAGGCTGTCTGTAACAGATAGTCACACTCTTTATAGTCGTCTGGGGAAATTGAGTGGTTGTCTGTCTTTTGCTCATTGATTTCATCAGCTTCAGAAAGCTCATCAAGATTCGAGATTACCACATGGAAAACCCTGTTAAACTATTAGATAGGGATAACGCGTTGCGACGAGAAGCCGACTTACTTGTGGATGGATGGCAAGTCTTGAAGCCATAGTTGCACGCTCTGCGAACTATCACTTGACTCTTGGGAGAGAAGATCGAGGACAATGAAAAGCGGGCGTTCAAGCATAGAACACTGATAAGAGAACAGGGTCCCTCCAACATCAAGCACTTGCTTTGGCGGCTGCTCATGCGTGCTGTGATGGCTATGGTTCCACAAGACATAGAATCGCTCAGCTTGTTGCTCCGACGAGAGGTGGCGGGATGCTGCAGTTGACACATTGACCATTAAAGCTGTCAAGGACGCTTCGACAAGGTGGTCAATCCAAGAAATTGAGTGCAGGAGCCATAGGCAGCGGACGGCTTCCACGTGAAACTTTGGACTAAGGGGTGATAAGTACCACCAAAGCTGGTTGACAAGAGGGGTGATCAGATCGCAAGCATCCTCATAGCTGACATAGAAGCCGGGAGTCTGTATGAAAAACAAACTCGTCACCGTCGAAGCAATTGTCGATATGACAGAGAAGGAAGCGGTTGTTGGTTTGTCCTTCCCTGAACCTAGTCGCTGAGAGAGCGCTTCGTACAGTTTTCGGTCTCGTAGAACGCGGGACTTCGGAAGCTTCTTGAGCAGGGTCACAAGAATATCGAGTGGTTCGTGGACAGATAGCTTGCCATCGCGGCTATATAGCGCCGCGATAGCTAGTTCGTGAGCCTCTCGAATGATCATTTCGCCAAGATTCTTAGGAGCATAGGGAAGGGGTGGAAGCTCCAGGCTATTTTTGCTTTGTTCGTAGAAACTGTGGACAGATTTCAAAATATCAGTACCACGGCCCTTTGTGTCGTTGCCGGCAGTCTTTTCAGAACCCGGCTTTCTTGAGAACGCCCGCTCTGTGAGTAGACCAGTCAACGATTTGAGAACTTTGTTCAATGAGGCGGTCACGGCCTGTTGGTTGGCGATGCTCTTCTTGGATTGAATCTCTCTCATCTTCACCAGCACTGACAATGCCAGCAGAGGCACATGGATCTGAACCATGTCCTCCTCGCGCACGTTGAAATTCTCAATGATAAATTGTGCAAGATCCAAGTTACGCAACACTTGGTCGCTATCAACGTCTACATCGGAAGACTGGTAGTCAACCAACCCCAGAAGCTCGGAGAATATCACGCCACTTTCAACACCATCAAAAAAGGCGCTCGCACTGCGGAAAACCTCTTCGAAGTGGTTCTCGGGGGCTGTGGATTCAAATGCCTGAACACTGCGTACAGTGGGCAAGAAAACAGCAGGGACAATGTATCCACCAATCTCCCAGCGATCCATTAGCGACAGAGCTATGCGAAATGGCTTGGTTCTCTCGGACGGAATACTCGGTGCTTGTTCGATCATATCCAGTAGACCAGTGACCAATGGCTGTAAGCCTAACCGGCTGAAGTATTGTGATTGTGTGAGTTCCTTTCCATCGACGGAAACAGATCGAGCGGTTTCCGACGATAATTTTCGATCATCCATCGATGAGCTATCGTTTGGGGAATCTGGTCCTAAGAACCAGGCCCAGAGTCGGCGGTTCAAGCTCATGTCCCGTCGAGTGACCACCCCCACTGCTGCAATTACCAACGTTCGAAGATCACTAGCCGCAATTTTGTTTTGCAAAATCGGAGAGCTGAGTGGGAGGTGGGTGACAAGAAGATCAAGGAAGTTGCGTTGGACAAGGAGCTGGTCATCGGATAAGCCCGATGCAACACATCGAATCAAGAGCCCAGGCTCAGGTAGAATGACAGAGTCTGCTGCGGCCAGTATATCAGGTGGGATGTTCTGCGGACCGCTCCCACCAGCCGTGCTCGGTCGACGATCTGCGATACCTAGTTTCGGAAGGTAGCGGTTCAAATATGCGAGGACGCCAAGCCGTCGACTAGGGTTAGTGATAGATGCAAGAAAGAGGCATTGCCAGAAATACTGCCCAGATGCCCCGGTCTCAGAAGTCCTTTGTGTTTCAAGTTGTGAAGCAGCATCTCGCAGTTTGTTCATTGTGCGCAGTGTTGGCTCAAAATCCTCACTTGTCTCCTCTTCGAGGCCTGGAAGTAGGGCTAGAATGATTGCTTTCAAGGCGGGACGGATAGCCCATGGTTCCAGATCAACGATATATCCCTCTACCAAAGACAGGAACAACGGGCGGACAGTAAGAGAGGCGAAAGTCAACGTTGGCGCAAGGCCAGGAAGATACAAAGGCAGGTCGTGCGATAATCCCTCGAGCTGGTTACAGACAGATGCATCAGTAAGCACACTGGCAGCCTTTCGTGTGGCCACACATACCTTTATCAATCCAAATATGTACGTGTAGACTTCGAGGGCCTTTTGGTGCACGCCTGATGGCAACGATGGGTTCAAGCACTGGGCGAGTCGCTTCGATACTAACACTTTATGAGGGACGACGGGCTGATCGGGTGGGTGGGTTTGGAGAGCCTAATGGTTGGTCGTCAGCGATGCTACAGAGCATTGCTACTAAGTCGAGCGAGCGCACCTTTAACAGGCGACCAAGAAATGAGATATAGTCGGCCCATTCTTGGAGAGCGTTGTCGAAGAGCGAAAGCGCTCGTTCAACACTAGACGCATATCGGCGATAGTTCTTGTCTTTTTTGAGGGACCCTTAAAACCACCAGATATAATCAGACAAGTCTCCTCTCATGCAATTCTCGGGGTGTGCACATACCTTCCTTTCCTTGTAGACGGGAGCGTGTCAAGGAGCTCTCGGAGCTTGCGGGGGAGTTCGACCTCGGAAAGGCATTGGGATCAAGACTCATGGTGCCAACGACGGACGTAAAATTGTTGTAAAAGATTCGAAGTACCCTCCGTCATATTTAGGACATTGAGGATGGCCCTGTGGGAAAGGGACTTGGTGGTTGAATGTTGACCAGAAGCCAACGCAGGCGGCCACGTTCATTTGTTTTGTTCCGCCTTGGGGTAGCTCCGACTCGCCGACGTCAACGTCCAGCAACTATCAAATCGACAAACACAACCCATCGAGGACTCCGAATACTTGAAATAAACAATGACCATTTAATTGCCTGAAGACCCGCGACGAGCGACCGCGTCAAAAAGCGCATGTCCGCAGCGGGGATGAGTACACAGCAAGACCCAAAAACCGACGGCCAACAGCCTGTCGAGACCTCCAAGCAACCGTATCTTTCCAGGCCATCAATCCCAGATAACGATGAGCGAAGTGACAGTTCAGAGGGAGAGCGGCCACCTTTGCCCCCGCGACCGAATACATTGAGTCTATTGAACGATGAAACGGGCTCCCGGGCAGCCCTACAGGCGGAGGCAACGACGGCTATCTCACGAACCGATATCGAAACACAATCGCCGGAAGCTACTGATAGCGCTTACTCCACACTAGCTATTCGTGGTCTGGGCCAGGGTCCAAAGGCCAGGGCGAGCCTCAGCCAGTTGGCGAGCCCGCGGGGCAGCGAAGCTGGTGACTCCGCTAGCATTAGAAGCTCAATTCCAAATGATTCCGGGGATGTTGAAGCGCTCTTTATGGACTTTGCTGCAATAGCACCCGGTAGTCAACGACAAGGCGCTACAGGCCTACTCGACTTCCCTGAATTTGCGGCGGACGATATAAATGACGATGGAATTCTAAGCGAATTTGAAGCGATTGGCGAGCTTAACGAGGAAGGTGATAACGAAGGTCTGTGTCAATAATCAATTGTGTCTTTGTTTTATAATACTAAACCCATATCAGACCTGCTACTCCAGCGGTGGAAAGCAAAGCGCAAGCACTATGTGATCCTATCCGCCGCTGGTAAGCCGATTTGGACGAGGCACGGCGATAGCGGCCTGATATCTGGCTACGTCGGTGTTATTCAGACCATAATTTCATTTTATGAAGATTCAAATGATCATCTGCGAGGCTTCTCCGCTGGTGATACTAGGTTTGTTGTGTTGACACGGGGATCTCTGCACCTCGTTGCCATCAGCCGGATGATGGAAAGCGACAATCAGCTCCGGCTTCAACTGGAAGCATTGTATACGCAGATATTATCCACATTAACGTTGCCTTCTTTAACCCATCTCTTTTCTGTGCGGCCTTCTACTGATCTGTCGCGACCCTTACAGGGTTCAGAGACCCTTCTCTCATCTCTTGCAGACAGTTTTACGCGAGGGTCTCCATCGACATTGCTATCGGCTTTGGAGTGTCTGAAAATCCGCAAGCAACACCGACAAGCCATCAACAATGCACTTTTGAAAACTAAAGCCAGTAGTCTTCTATATGGCTTGCTTGTGGCCGGCGGAAGACTCGTTAGTGTAGTCCGGCCCAAGAAGCACTCATTACATCCAGGCGATCTACAGCTCTTATTCAACATGGTTTTCGAAGCCGACGGAGTTAAAGCTGGCGGCGGAGAAAGTTGGATTCCCGTCTGTTTGCCTGGCTTTAACAGCAGCGGTTATCTCTACATGTACGTGAGCTTTCTTGACATTCGTGACGACACCGCAAATAGCGCCGAGATCACCAAAGACGAGTCTGTTGCCATTGTTCTTATCAGCCCGGATAAAGAAGCTTTCTTTGAGATGCAAGGAATGCGTGATGCTCTCGTGGAGGTGAGATCGCGCAATTCTATGCTGTCAAATATGGTACGTGGTACTAACGATACAACAGCAAATGGAGAGAAACGGCAGCCTGAAGGAGATCAAAACGGCAATTGACAATGGCCGACCCGCAACTACTGATATAGTTCCTGGGACTGTACTACATCATTTCCTTTACAAATCGCGCGCCAACGTACAATTCACCATGTCCTCGTATGCCCCTGAATTTTCCTCGGTGACTCGACGACGAAGGTGAGCACTACCCTTATAGTGTTCATTACTGCTTGTAATATTCAATGATTCTGACCGCCCGTAGATTGATGTCGATGTACAACAACTTGCACGCGAGCATCCACGCCAAGAATACCCATGTCAAAATTCACCACTGTGTTTCGCGGTCAGCCACTTCGTTCGGATGGGTAACACCTGTATTCGAATTATATTGTATCGCTGAGCCGAACACTAATCGAAATGCACTTGCGCAAAGCGCTAGCAAGATTGCTCAGTGGGTGCAACGTGAGGAAGAGAGGTTATTCATCATTGGCGGTGCGGTACGTACTTCCTCTCTCCCAATGGCTACAATAGCAAGAGTGGCAATACTGATCGTTTCAAACAGGTTTTCTGATATCTTCTGATACTTTCGCACTCAGAGGACGAAGAAAGTTCCCTGTAAATATCATCTCGTGATTTATTATACCCAAGACTACGTCCACGCCAACCCTACATATATGTTTGTTTCGTATCGTATCTTAGTCTACCTCTACCTCTCAAAATCTCTCGTAAACTTTACTAGTAGTTCTAAGTTCATCATGTTGCTAGGAGATCCATAAAATGTATGATATTCGCATAGGTACGTGAACTAATCGAGCGAGTCCTCTCTCAGGTTAAAGAGTTGACGCATGACCTCACCCGACTTGCTACGCAGCGCATCGTGATACATGGTGTTGGTGATAAACTGCTTGGAGTTCTTGATCTTGGCAGCAGTAGCTGTGGCCAGATCATAGTGAACATACATATCATCGATGTAGGTTGCAGCATATACCGGCACCTCGTTCTTGGCCAGTTGAGCCTCGTCGTATAGGGCCGGCCATTCGTCTGTCGTAGCCACAATTTCAGCAGTCTCCTTGAGCTCTGAGAGCTCTGAGTAGGACTCGAACATATCCTTGAAGATCTAGAAGGTGAGAATGGGCGTTAGATCTTTCTGTTGAGAGAATTCTGGACTGGACTGGGCTATTTACCATCTCGCCGGTGAAGTAGATCTCAGGCAGCGAGTCATTGATCTGGAATTGCGGGTTGCTAGCCCGCAGCCTGTCAGCAGCCCAGAGGGACGGCTTTCTATATTCATTGTTAGACTCGGGTATGTCATGGAAAACGGACGGCACCGAAAGCTTCTCCTCACCCTTGGCAATAGATTGATTCGTGCAGAATGGCATAGATGATATTTTTGTCCATACCGCCATTACTGTCAATCACGGAAAGAGTCGGCAGAGTAAGGAATCCGAACATCTCCAAATCGTTGGAGACTCTGAGAACAATGTCTAGACTCGAGTTAGCATTATTACCGCAAGCTTCACGAGACAAAGCAAAGTTTACCGTGCAGACTATCTAAACCACCTAAATCGTGTTAGCTTTAATAGACTTGGTTGTCCGGATCGTGGGTCTTACCGTGGAAGCCGAACATAATGCCTAGTTGCTGGAAGCGATACGGAGTGAGCAATCCGGATGGCAATGCGACCTTGTTTTGGGCCAGGTATTGCATGATATTCTTAACACGGTCCACATCCTCGGGGAACTTCTGGTAGTAAGCCTCGTTTCTCTCCTTGACCTTTTCTGTTTTTGTGTCAATGTCACGCATAAGCTACCTTAAGAAAACAGGGAAGCGCACCATAGGTCTTTGCATAGACAGGATCTGGCCCGTTGGTAAGAGGGGGAAGGCCACCTGTAAGGAAAGCTTCTCTCAGGCCCTCTGGGCTGGAATTTAAATAATATCAGCGATGTTCAAGATCCAAGTATGGATATCAACGGATTTCAGAACATACAACTTTGACAAGTAAGTCACGGCACAGAAGCCACCGAAACTTTGCCCAAGGATACTCCAGCGGCGCTGGTCAGGCGGATAGTCCTGTGTCAAAACATCACGAATGGCTTCGCAATCACGGACAATGCTGTCTGCACGGAAGTTCTTGAGATACTCGGCCTGCTTGATTGCATCTCCCTGACGGGCAAGGGTTCCCGCTGTGAGAGTCGAACTGAGGCCAGTGCCTCGTTGATCCAGAAAGAGCACCTAGAGAATGGTTGAGCATCAATATACAAATGACAATGTAAAAGGCACACACTTGATAACCCTTGCTGAGGATGAATTCAACCCAGGGGTAAGACTGCGGGGCACCACATCCAAAGCCAGGGCCACCTTGCAGGTAGACCAGCCAAGGAAGCTTGCCCTCTTTGGCTTCCTTGCCCTCTTCTTTAGCGGGATCTATGGGTTTATTCAAGCGACTGATGCTTCGTGCAAAGAGCCTCAGCGTGTCCCCAGCGGGCTTGCTGTAGTCCACAGGGACATCGAAGAACAGCTCGGAAACCCGAAGTTTGCCTGGATAGGGTCAAGTTATCAGTATCGAAACCAGTGGGCTAATTAGTGATGATAAATAAGACGAGACCAACCTGAGACATTATGGAAACGCCTATCAATCAGCTTTGCGGCCATGATTGCGATGTTGATGTGGACTAAAATCAGAGGGTGCGTTGGTGACAAGCCGCTTTGCGGAGAACCGCACCAACTTTTTTAATCTGGGTGTCGCTGTTCACCTGCAATCACACAGCCGAGTAAAAGAAAAAATTTAGTGTTTTTCTTTTGTCTATTCCTCTGATCTCATAAATTATTCACAGGGAGATGAATAACCTATTGTATATAGAACAGGAAGCTAAGAGCAGGGAAATCTTTGTATTCGTGATGACCTAACTATTCTCATGAAGCTCTCTATATAGCTTCATGGGGGCAAAGGGATAAGGTCCGAAAGCAGGCAATATGTCAATGCATCAATATATGGATCTGGAGTAGGACAGCCTTAAAAGTAACATTGGCTGTACTACGAAGTCGGTCTAGGGATATATATAGCCATGCCTAGTGCGGAATACATTTAAGTTCGACGCTATGCTTAATGTCTCTCTCCCTCATCAGATTTCCTCGAAATGTGCTTAATTCGGACCATATTCTCGTAGGTCCTGGGATGGATACATTGCAGCAAATTGATCTAGGGCATAACCATTGAATAAAAGAGTATTGTGTCATTAATTCTGCATTCTGTTCCAAAGACAAATCATTTCAAAAAGAGAAAAGATAGAACTCGCTGTTTTTACTCTGAGCTCATACTCGAGTGTCTGCTGGCCGCAAGCTGCCGGCCTGCCTTTAGCAGTAGTAGAGTTGCCGGTAGCTGAGCAGCCGCAAATCCAATCATAACAAGCAGCTGCGTATTGAAACTACTAGCTAGAACGTTCTTCGCCACCTCCTGTAGATGGGGAGATAGACTTTTTATCGATTTCACATTCTCAAGGAATAGGTGCAGTTCGTGCGACGACATAACACCCTGCAAACGATGCGCTAGACGGCCATTCAATATATTAGATGCAATGGCAAGGCCAATAGCACCGCCGAGAAAGCGGAGTTGAACCACCGTGCCAGTGGCAATTGCTACAACGAAAAGCGATGGCCCAGTTAGTCAACGTAGCAGTCACCTTAATATCAGGAAGTTCTCGGGAGAACACATACCCAGGTCTCTGTCCTCGACTATATATGGTGTCGATAGCACGAGGATTCCCATTGTCAGGCCCAACCCTGTCCCAGCAATGACTAGATAACCAATATCTGTTGCGTGGAAGCCCCTAGAAGTGGCAATAGTCGAGAGAAGCCCAACACCGACAGTATGGATTGTACAGCCCACGAGCAGAGTATAAATAAACGGGATGCGTCCCCTAGCGCTGGCAATATTGACAATAGCCGCGGCAACTGCCGCAACAGCAGAATACCCAATCAAATAAATACCGGAATCCAAAGGCGACTTGTCCAACAGAAGCTGGGCTTGCTGTGGAACATATACTAGGACGACGTTGTACGGTGCGCCGATGACAAATGAAGAACTAAAAGTGCAGTCAGAAGAAATTGTACAATAGTTGTGAACTTTTTCTTTTTTTTAAATGGACTCACATAAGTATTCCCAACCATGGACGATCAAAAAGCCAACGCTTGGGGAATATGGGGTCTTTGCCCGGAATGCCCGAGATATACCATTCCCAGGCAAAGAAAGCGATCCAGGAAACACCCGTGAGCACAAGGAGCGCAATTGCATCCCTCGAGGACCATGTGAATGCCAGATTGGTTTCGTTCAATACGGCGACTATCAAAAATGAACCAGCCATTATCAAAAGCGATCCCATTATATCGAGATTAGCAAATGAGCGATATGAGGCTCGTGTTCGAAATGAAGGAGTGTGCTGATCAAGACCGAAGTGTTTGGGCATCGCAACGATGATAACAACGATCGCAATAACGCACAAGGGAGCACTAATAATTTAATTAGCGTACTTCTCACAGAGATGCTGAGCCTTCATACTTGACGAAAAATGTCCATCGCCAGGCCGAGTTTTCCGCAAGAGCACCGCCAACGATTGGGCCTATCAAAGATGCAAAAACGAGGCAAAATGACATGAGACTGCTGTAGATTGGAAGCTTCGTTTTAGGAGCTATCTCATACACGCATAGGATTGTCAAAGCGTATGTACCAGCGCCCCCAATTCCTTGGAGTGCCCGGAATATTATGCTGCCTCAGTAGTTAGCTCTTGGACAGAAAAGTGAGGGCAGAACTACGTTAGACCTACAGTTGGTCGACTGTCTGAGCAAATCCACACCCGAAAGAAAATGCGAGCAAAATAACAAGAGCAGCGATTGTGGTTTGTTTCCTGCCGACTATATCGCTGACTTTTGTCCATATTGCCATAGACCCTGCAGTAGTATGACATCAGTAATGAGAGAAATAGAGACCGTGGGAAGCTATTTCAAGATAATGTTTGAAGAACAAAGTAATCCAAAGGGAAGAGGAGCCATTGTAGAATCGCAATTTGGATCATACCTGTGTAGGTGGCCAGGTATCCAGTAATAATCCAACTTCTCTTCTCGAAGCCCTCCAGGTCATCTGTGATACTCGTGAGAGCCGAGCTCACAATCGTGACATCCAAATTAGACAGAAAAAAACCAATCAGGAGCCTGTAGAACATCAGACCTCGTCATCCAAAACCCGATTGCACTTGACAGAGCGCCTACCCCGTGGTGGTGAGCACCAGTCTCCATCCTGTCGGGTAAACAATTTCACTTCCTGGAGAAGGTGCTCTCGGTACCGACCCCTTTTCTTGGCCACGCCCCCTAGCGCCGACTTTGCTAGCTTTGTCCGAGCTCGGCTCTGCGAACTTGATATGGCTAGACATGGTTGTCGGCCTCTCAACAATAGGTGCTTCAGGGGTGGGTGAAGACTGGAGTGGCAGCCATTGTTGCAAGAAAGTTTTGAACGTGACCACCTGTCTATGTAGGACCAAGCCCCGCGTATCTTCACCCCAGGGGCTTCATGTGGAACGCAGGAGACGCGCGACGACAGAATGTGGAATATTTACATGCATAAGAAGGGTGATCCGTCGATCATTGAACCTAGATACGCTGGATTGGATATGGCTTGGCATAAATTGGCTTTCTGGAGCATGCCCGACTGAATTTGGGATTTTTGAATTGCTTTTGCGAGTCCTTTTGACGGTTTCATTCTCCGCCTTTTTGACTGCGATATGGTCAGGGAAAGGAGAGAGGGCCTCGATCATGGGCATTGGTCTCACGCGTTTTATTTTCGTTATCTGAGACAGATTCTCCTTGCTCAGGGCTGACTACGCGCCCCTGAATTATGCATCATGTCAAGATAGATAAGGTTTTTTTTTTCAATACATATAGTCAAGTAAGGAGGACTTGTGCACTACAAAAGTGAATTTGGAGAGTAACACAACCTGGTAGTTGACTTAGCAACAATAGACGAAGTCAAGATAAACTCTGCTCCGTACCTTCTCCCCGAACTTGGCAGGATAATTAGGCGTCGTCAGCATTCAATGAGATGCCAGGGACAATAGGAAAGAAGGGCCGGATGAGGGTGAGAAACAGGGCAAAACCAGCCCTGGAGATTACCTGGACAAGTCCTCCCTACCAGGCAGAGACAAATTGACTCGGCCGGCGCCTGAGGCAGCTAAGCGTGAGTCACTACTCTAACTATCCATGGATCGGGGGCATGTCTACGAGTATAGGCCTCCATCTCCGACCTTGTCTATCTTCTCCAAGATTTCCGATGGAAGGTTGTAAGATCACCGGAGGCCATTGGAACTCCCGACATCGGACTCAAGCTTTGCCCCACTTATCCCGCCATCTAGGCATTCAATGTTCCGTCTGGACATGCCCATGTATGTGTCTTCCAATGAATCTCTTTGGCTCCAGCTACTTTATATGTAGACCAGAAGGAACCAAATACTGTTTTTGGAAGGTACAGGCGAACCTTATAAGTAGCCTCATTTACTTTCCAAATCCCGAGATCCCGGCACTGGTATAAATTGGCGAGACTGTTTGTTTCCCCAAAAGAGACAAACACTTCAGCCATGCAGAACCAATTTCAACAAGATCTATGGAAGGCCGCCCAGGGACCCTGGGACTCGGGCATTCTCCCCAGCGCCGAGAACCTGGCGCGGGCTAGAGCTTCTCTCCCTGCGACACTTCCGGATACAGGATCCAGTCTGGAATCTGTCCAGCGACACATTGTCGATGATATTGTCCCAGCGTTCAACGGAGCAAGCATAAGTTCCAACTACTACGGCTTCATCACTGGCGGAACTACCCCAGCGGCGCTCTTCGCGGACAACGTTGTATCTGCGTACGATCAGAATGTCCAGGTGCATCTCCCAGGTCACTCCATCGTCACCGATCTGGAGTACAACGCACTTGGTCTCCTTTTGGATCTCTTCCGGCTAGAGCGTTCTATCTGGCATAATGGAACGTTCACTACCGGTGCCACGGGGAGCAATATCCTTGGCCTAGCATGTGGGCGCGAGTTTGTTTTGCAAAACGCGGCGCAGAGAAAAGGCTGTCATCTCCAGAGTGTTGGTGAAGAGGGTTTGTTTGAGGTATTGCACGCACTGGGTCTTTCCGGGGTGCAAGTATTATCCACGCTGCCACACTCGTCCCTCGTGAAGGCTGCTGGTGTGCTAGGCATCGGTCGTTCCAACGTACACAACATCTGCCGAGCCGATGACCCGCTCCGGTTTGACATGGACAAGCTTCAGAAAGAACTTGCGAGAACAGACAAGGTCAGCATCGTTGCAATATCTTGCGGGGAGGTCAATACTGGTCGTTTTGCAACAAGCGGTGCGGATTTGAGAGAAATACGCCAGCTGTGCGACAAGTACGGAGCCTGGATGCATGCTGATGGAGCATTTGGAATCTTTGGTCGTGTCCTTGGTGAAAGCCCGGAGTTTGCAACAATCAAGAAGGGCTGTGAAGGAATAGATCTGGTCGACTCGATTACCGGTGACGGCCATAAGCTTCTCAACGTTCCCTACGACTGTGGCTTTTTCTTTACTCGACACCCGAACGTGGCAGCGCAAGTATTCCAAAATGCAAATGCAGCCTACTTAGCTACTGCAAACTCCGATGGCCCTAGCATCCCCTCGCCTTTAAATATTGGAATTGAAAACTCCCGTCGATTCAGAGCGTTGCCGGTGTATGCCTCGCTGTTGTCATATGGCAAGTCTGGATATCAAGAGATGCTGGAGCGTCAGATAAGGCTTGCCCGGAAAATCTACGGATGGGTCTTCGAGCATTCTGGGTATACGGCTTTGCCAGAAGCACTGTCCAAGTCTGAACTGGTCGATCAGACATTTATGACTGTTTTGTTCCGCGCAAACGATGATCGCTTGAACCGCGAGCTAGGAAGCAAGATCAACGAGACCTCGCGAATGTTTGTCTCGGGTACCAGCTGGGATGGATCCCCTGCTTGCCGCATTGCAATCTCGAATTGGCGAGTTGATGTGGAGCGAGACTTCGCACTGGTGACAGACGTGTTGGCAAAGGTTGCGCAGAGCTAAGGGAATATTAATACGTGAAACGAGAAAGCAGACTTAGAATCTTGAAAATTGGACATTCAACGCTTATATATCTTCTTGGCATCTCCGTAAAGGGTATCAGCGGCGACGACCAGCTCCTCCCATATTCTCAGTACGGTCAGACATGCTAACAACCTCCCCAATACCAGCGGCCTCTTGCTCATCTTCCAGAGCCATGATCTCCTCTCGGCTATCCCACCACTTTTCTTCGGCCAAAGAGAATGCTGCCTTGCGCAGTTCCTTGATTGTCTTGTCGGCAGACTGTTCCCTCTCCTTGACAATATCCATCATGATATTCTGCCATTCTTCAGAAGTGCGGCTGAAGAACTCTCGCAAGCTCTCGAACGGTCGAGGCAAAGGTCGGCTGTCGTTAACATTTTGCTCTTCTGGCTCCTCAACTTCGAGTTGCTCCATGTCCTTGGTAACAGATGGCACTATCACATCTGTCGGGGCAGGCGAAGAAGCATGAAGAGACATCGCTTCGGCGTCAGCCTCATCGTCTTCATCCATTTCATCGTCGTCATCTTCGTCGTCCATGTCTTCGTCACTGTCTTCGGTTTCCTTCAAGAGGTTCCAATTCTCAGGCTCCCTGTAGAATACCTCCTTGACGCCGTCCAGTTTGACCAGATCAATGGAATACATATCGTCGAAAGTGAACTCTCGGTCACCCTTTTCAAATGTACCACCAAAAATGAATAGGGTATCATCTTGCACTGCTAGCTGGGCGTTGAATCGCCGATGGGGCATCTCGAAGCGAATAACTGAGGGCTGTGCGGGCTCCACAGGCTCTTCGGGCTGAGGCGTGGTTATTCCCATATCATAGTCATCTTCATTATCACGAATTCCAACTTTAGCTTCCAGGGCTTTAAGATTTGCCAAAAGTTCTTCCTCGTCCGCCTTGCCCCTGTTTTTGGACTTTGCATTTTGGTTTGCCTGCTGCTTTTTGCCGGGCGCGCGGGGACGTCGCAGACTCAGCGGGAAGAAACGGTTTCTGTCGGTGGTCCAAGCAAAGAGAGTATCGAAGAATTCGCTTTCAATACCCTCCTCGCTTAGTTCCACGTCGTGGACACCACCGAACATAATTCCTCGGCCCTTGTGGTATGCCATGGTAGTGCCAACACGAGGCGGATTGGGCGTATTAGCGGGCTTCTTTCGTCGCTCCCAACGGACTGCAGGTGCCGTCGACGATGGAGCCTCAGCTGCAGGGGGTGTGACTCTCAAGAACCAAGTATCCTGGTGAACCATGGGCCGGAGCGCCATCTTCTGGGGACCGCCACCCTTGCCTTGCTTACCACCGCCCGCGGCTGCCTTCACTCGGGAGTAGCCTCCATAGACGACTGCTCCAGTCTCGTGCGGTAGCAGAGAGAATGATGAGCGTGGATCGGGCTTCTGGGAAGCCAGGGTCAACGTGGGGTTGTGCCAGGTATACTGATTACAATCATAGATCCACAGGTCCTGCAAATACTTAGTCTGCTGGGAGGTATCTTGGAATCCACCAAAGAGGATGATGTAGTTCTGTCTCTGTGTTAGCTCCAATACAAAACACAGAAGCTGAAATCGAAACACATACCTTGAAATAGGTCATGCGGTGACCACTTCTAGCGGGAGGACCTTTTCCTTTAACCTCGAGACGAGTCCATTCTCTTGTGGCTGTGTCTAAGTGCCAAAAGTCATTGTAGTGATAGAACGTGCCTTGCTTCGGCGACGAGAACTCTCCTGCTAATAGTTAGTCTCCACACAAACGACTTCGATACATCCAGCAAGACAATCTTACCTCCAAACATATAGATGCCTCCGGAGTTTCCTCCACGGCACCATGCATGACCACTTCGAGGAAGAGGACTGTTGGGACTAGTCACCTCTCTCCATTCGCCGCGATCAATCAAATAGACGAAAAGGTTATTGAAGAAAGTGGCATGCGTCCCGTCAAAGTACTCTCCACCGAAAAGCAACAGCTCATTTCGGTTCGACGGAGATGCTAGCACGGTTGAAGACGAACGTGGGACCGGTGGGTCGGAAGGAACTTCAGTAACCTTCAAGAATTTGGCCTGTTCTTCGGCGTACTGGGCCAAAATGGCATCTAGGTCTGCGTCTTCAGCATCGCTGTCTGCATCTTTGCCCTTGGCTTTAGATCTCTTTTCTTTCTGTGCGGTCTTCTTTGACTGCTTTGCTGCTACGCGGTCCTTGTGCTCAGCAGACTTCTTAGTCTTTTTGCCCATTTTGCTCAAGTTGGATACAGAAGGTGAATTTTCGCGATGTTCTTTTCGTGGGGCGGAAATTATGCCTTTCCCCACACTGAATTGCCCCCCCTCCAGATCAGATCTGCGTCTGTAGGCCTGCTGCTTGCACCACTGGGTTTGTTTATATTTAAATTCGGCAAATATAAGAACATAGAATAATAATAATGAGTCCTATACAAAATTTGATATTCTTAGTCCAATTTGGTCGAGTAACTTTTAGTTGAACGCAGTTGCTGCTATAGATCAATTTGGTTGACCGCTCACGTGCCGACGCGTCCATATCGGTTTCGCGACTGGTGTCATTGCTCCAAACATCAAGATCCACGGCCATGACAGCAACAGGCCCCCATGACGAAGAATAACTTAGCGACACATCTCAAATGGTTAATAACCCAAGGGAACCCTCTCCACCCCACTCTGGCGCAAACCAGCTTGTCTGAACGCAACAATCACGTATCACAGCAATCTATTTGCCCCACCGACGAATTCGCGGCCCTCGATGATATCCTTGAAGACGTGGAGAATGAGACGGATGTGTCAATGGCTAGATTGTTACCCCAATCGGCGAGCAAGCCTCGAATGCTGAGCCGACACGACACGATCCCCACCAGTACTCCCGCAACTACGAAGAAACGGGCTTCGCCGCAACAGTCAAGCATAGCTCGAGGTATGTGGCTGGTTAAGACGAACCTCGCGGCAATCATTAGACTAACGGAACCTGCATTATGATCAGAGTCCTTCTGTGAACCACCATTCTCATCATACAAGCCTTCTCGGCAAAAGTCGACTCCGTTGCGACCAGACAGTTTCCACGCGCTTGAACACGATGATATTGAATCGATCGATTTGACAGGGGAGCTTGATCGGTCCATACTATCCTCGTCCGAGACTCTCCCGGCTGGTGAGCCGCGCGGGCCATGGGCAGAAGAAAGCACCCCATGCGCAACTCGTGAGAAACGCGGCAAGAAGCGCAAAAGTGACGAGTATACCTCCGATCTTCTTTCCTCGCCGAAACATGCGACGAAAGTGCGAACTGCCTCGAAGGCGCCTCTGCTTCCCGCCCCTAAAGACATTGTATCGGAACAGCCCACAATCCCACGTCAGACAACCCAGACAAATCCCCTAAGCGCGGCGAAACGACCTCAATATCATTCAACTGTTGCCCCACGGAGCCATCGGAAACAAGTGATCGCGGATTCAGATGATGACGATGATCTCTTTGACGACTGGGTTGATAATGAGGATCCCGCCGACAAGATGATCTTGGACGCCGAGGAGAGCTTGTACCCAATACTCCCCGAGATGAGTCCAGCAGCGGATGAGAAAAAGATTGAGATCAAGCATTTGCCATTGGAATCTACGCCTAAAGCATCGTTTCCAACTGCGCAGCCATCGACTCAGCCGAAGGAAAGGGCAGTTGCCAAAGACCCTATCCCGTCGACACCTTGGTCGAAGCCATCCAGCTCAGAGGAGAAAGATCCGGATTTTCTGAAGTTTTTAACCCTTGGAAACAATGCCTTCGGGCATGCAATTTCCAAATTGAGGTCTACTCTGCAGAAGAATTCTGAAATTGTTTATCAACAGGCCATGGAGGGTCACCCAGTTCCAGAATTGATCGCCGAGAACAAGACTCTTGTTGCTCAGATCGAGGCAATCGAGTTGTTGCAAAAACATCAAAACACGCACAGGGGCTGTGTTTCTCGCAAGCAAGACCTGAAGCAAAACTTGATACGTGTGATCTCACAAGGTCTAGACCCAACAACTATGCCAGAAGAGCTTGCGCAGAGTCGAGCAGTTGAGGCAGAGTTGGAAGAAACCGAATCAAAAATCTGTGAGCTTCTATCTCGAGCCAATATCCTCGAGTTAGCGCATGATTGCCCATCCGACCCCCCTCCCATGAAACATACTCAGCCCACCTCCAAAGCCCACGCAGTCGCACGGGAGCCCCCTCTTTTCTCTTCTTCGCGGACCGCCTTGGAAACAGAATTCCGTGACCAGCAGCCTTTGCCCCCAACAAGTCCTAAAAAGAATAAAGAGACAAATCGGCCGGATAGCTATGAAAACCGTGTTTCGCGGAATATGGGCACCCCGCCGTTCGATTCAATGGATCTCGATGAGTTCGACTGGAATGTCAGCGACGATGAGATATTGGAGGCGGCAGAAGGCTTCGATGGTGCTCATCAGATACCCGTCCGCGAACAAGCCAGTCAAAACCGCAAAGTTTTTGCAGAGACGTCTGGCAACATCCCCAAAGCCCCCGTTCCGAAGAAGTCGCCCGGTCATAGCGCCTTCTGGTCAAACCATCCATGGTCTCAAGAAGTACGGAAAGTGTTGAAAGAGAGATTCCATCTCCGCGGATTCCGACCCAATCAGCTTGAAGCCATTGATGCAACACTCGCTGGCAAAGATACTTTCATTCTAATGCCTACTGGAGGAGGCAAGTCGCTATGTTATCAATTACCTTCTGTGGTAACAGGCGGACGCACCGCGGGAGTGACGATCGTGATATCTCCACTGTTGAGTCTGATGGAGGATCAGGTATCACACCTGCGAAAATTAAACATTAAAGCCTTCATGGTTAACGGGGACACCGACCCAGAGGAAAAATCCTGGATTATGAGCAACCTCTCAAACGCGGCTGGCGAGGGGATGGAGGTCTTGTACATCACTCCTGAGATGCTCAGTAAAAGCCAAGCTTTGATCAGAGCCCTCGAGAAGCTTCACGGAAGAAACAGGCTAGCACGCCTCGTCATCGACGAGGCCCACTGTGTCAGTCAATGGGGACACGATTTCCGACCTGACTACAAAGAGCTAGGAGAGGTTCGGGCAAGGTTCCCTGGCGTACCAGTCATGGCGTTGACAGCCACCGCCACTGAGAATGTTAAAGTTGATGTGATGCACAATCTCAAAATCACTGATTGTGAAGTGTTCTTGCAGAGTTTCAACCGTCCTAATCTCACCTACGAGGTACGGTCCAAGGGAAAGAATGACGAAGTCTTGGCCAGCATGGCGGAAACCATTACAAGCTCATATCGGAACCAGTGTGGAATTATCTACTGCCTCTCGCGAAAGACGTGTAACAAGGTTGCAGAGGACCTACAGGAGAAGTACCGCCTCAAGGCACTCCCTTATCATGCCGGTATGTCAGCAAAGGCAAAATCGGAAGCTCAGAGGAACTGGCAGATGGGCCGAGTGCATATCATTGTTGCGACCATTGCATTCGGAATGGGAATTGACAAAGCCGATGTGCGATTCGTCATGCACCACAGTATCCCAAAGAGTCTCGAGGGGTATTATCAAGAAACCGGTCGTGCTGGTCGAGACGGCAAACGTTCTGGCTGCTATCTTTACTTCGGCTATAAAGATACAGCAACCTTGAAGCGGATGATTGATGCAGGCGATGGCAATGGTCAGCAAAAAGCACGTCAAAAACAGATGTTGCGAAATGTGGTTCAATATTGTGAGAACCGCAGCGATTGCAGACGAGTGCAAGTCCTCGCCTATTTTGCGGAATATTTCCGCCGAGAGGACTGCAACAACACTTGTGATAACTGCAAGTCCGATTTGGTGTTTGAGCTCCATGACTTTACTGAGCAGGCATCCTGGGCCATCAAGATTGTGCGACAATTCCAGAACACACAGGAAAAGGTGACTGTGCTATACTGCAGTGACATACTTCGCGGAGACTGCAAACGGCCTAAAGCTCCAGAGCATCGCAAGATGCCGGGGTATGGTAAGGGATCTGACCTCGACCGTGGAGCAGCCGAACGTCTGTTCTACCGGCTGCTGGGTGAAGACGCATTGGCCGAAGACAATGTGATCAATAAAAGCGATTTTGCTGTTCAGTACCTGGTTCTCGGCCGCCGCGCAGCAGAGTTTGAAAGTGGCCAGCGACAAATGAAACTACTGGTTCGCGCGTCGCCGAATAGTAAAGCTAAAGCCAAGAGCAAGCCTTCGGGCGCCGTGCAGAAGAAAAAGTCTGGCAATTCAGGCGGTGATCCTCAGTCCACCATGGTCTCTTCTCCTGTACAAGCTGCCCAAGACCGGCGCCTTGGCCGTTATCAATATACCGGTGCTTCAGCCGCACATGTCTCGGTCGATGAGGATAGTGATGGCTTCGAGCCGATTCGAATCACCGGCAAATCTCGCCGCGCGAATACACACGAGATGGGTCCTCCAATCACTAGCGATCAGAAGTTGGATCAACTTGATCATATGCATCGTGTAGTCGTGGAGGACTTCCAAGAGCATGCCAAAATCATGCTTCAAGATGTGAGTCGACGCGGTAGTTATTGGTACGTCATCAAGAAACTGACTGTTGTTATAGCTTGTTGTCAAGAAGGGCCTTCGGTGCCAACCGTTCTCTGATCAGGTGCTACGTGATATGGGCATCTCCTTTCCCTCAAGTAAATACTCGTTCTTTGATCAAATTGGAACACCAAGCTAACAATGAAATAGATCTTACTGAGCTTTCTGCGATCCCGGGCATCGATCAAGATAAGGTGAAGCGCTACGGCCGGCAGATCCTGGGACTGGTTGATAATGCAAAGCGGCGCTACCTGGAAATGAAGCAGGAAGCAGAGACCAGCGGCGTTGTTCCGGATCCCAACCACCATAATGTCATCAATCTCAGCAGCAGCGATGAGTATAGTGACGACGACTTGTTCATGGATGAGGTTTCCGCCTTCAATCTGGACAATCCTGTCTCGACCGCACTCAGCAATGCAGCTGAAAACATCACAAGCCGCTACTTCCCTCCAGCGGCATCTCCGGGGTACGACTCTGGCGACGACTGTGAATCTGGCACTGCGCCTTCCGGCTCCAAGAGTCGCAAGCGCCAGCCTGCCAGCGGCAAACGACCGTCCCGACGGAAATATGGCTCCACTGGGAGCTGGAAGGGAAAAGGCGCACGACCGAAAACCAAATCCGGCGAGCGTCCTACAAGCCAGTCTGCGCCGCGAAAGAATGCCCGAGCTAAGACCCCCAAGTCGACGATTGGAATGATGCCTATTTGAAGTTCTTGTTATTGTTCTTTACCCAACTTTTGTTGGGAGGTTCATGATTGATTCGGCGTCCACAAGCATCTCTATGTGTTCTTTTCTCACGGTTCGTTAGGAGTCATTTGGAGGTCATCCATAGATGCCGGGTTATGTAGTATTTGACATGTTTACAAAGGACCAGGATATGAGAAGATACACATTCATGAATCAATGGACCATTTTGTCACTCAATCATGGAGACTCTCCACGTTCAATTCCCAAGTGAGCGACCGAAATCGATTAATCGAAGCCGCCGCGCATCTCGAGGGTGAAACTGCGCGACCTTGGCTCTCACGAGGAACCTCGAAGACGCCGAGTCGCGCTCCAAATCGATATAGGAATCAGCCTCCAACATAGCGTCGAGAAGACCATGCATCTCTTTCGCAGCTGCCTCCCTCTTGTTTGTGGGAGCCTCGTCCGCGTTGCGTTTCATAAATTTATCAATCCGCTGCTGTGATCCATCCCCTGTTCCTGTCGGCTCTTTCTGCTTCTTGGGCTTCCCGTGTGCTGTATAACCCGCCTTCAGTGTAGCATCCGACACTTCGAAAGCATCGCCCACAGTCGGGCCGCCTAGATCCTCGGCAGCAAGCATTGGAGCAAGAGTCTCATCGATGAACTTATCTAACGAAACCTTGAGGCTCGTGGACGCGCGGTCCAGTTCTTTATTTTGCTTTTTCTGCAGGGCGAGCTGTTCGCGTGCCAGCTGCGACGGAGTTTGCTCTTCCTTTCTCGTGTTCGCGTTGCGGATTCTCTGAATGCGCTCTCGCAGTCCGCTTGCGATTGATTGCGAGTCGCGTAGATTGGCCTCTTCGACTCGCAGGCGCTCGCGGTCCACAGACAGCTGTTCCGCGGTCATCGTGACAGAAACCTTGTTTTCTTGAACGAGCCGTGCGGTTTCTTCTATGGCTAGAAGTGATGGCAACACCGAGTCTGTTGTTGGGAGCTCATCATCGGACTTGAGAAGCGAGTCGTATGCTTTCTTGGCCCGTCGGGCTTGGGAGATGCGGGCCCAGGAATCGGTGCCCGTTTCTGTTAGATCAAGGGAATTGAGCTCACGTAGCTATAACTCATGTCAGTCGAGGCATTCTACTATAATGAGAATCTCACATGCCTTTTTCAATTCATCCTGCTGGCGTTTGACTTGCTCTTGAAGCCCTTGCAAGGTCGCATCTAAACGTCGCGTGTAGACATGCAATGCAGTTCCACTGAGAGGTTCTTTTGCCGATTCGCGCTCTGCTTCTTGGCGTTTTTCTGCGAATTTCTGGATCTTCTGCACGGTTTGATCAGAGATATCCATGCTTATTTTGGCGGAGTGACGCGAAATGCAAATATTTCCTTCTAGAAGTAACCAAAATACTTTTAATTAGAGCTCGATTGCCATTTAGACCTGCTGTAAAAAATGTTTGATTGAAGCCTTAGAGACAATCAAAATATTGACAAGGTGCATCACGCCCATGCAACATTCGCGTCGACGTCATGTGACCAAGCTTCACCCTCGACTTCCCTCCCCCATCGTCAACTTCACCTCTTCTCCTTAATCACCGCGATTTCATTTCATCGCCTTCATCAATTCCCTTATTCCCGCCTTTCTTCGAGATTTTATCACATTCTCGTCAATAAAGCTATTGACTCGTTGATTCCGAGTCTAGCCCACACGCTTAACCTCAGATTCAGACGTTATCGGAGGCTACAGTGTGGTACAGCAGGCAACGGTTTCTGGCGCTTGATATTCTACTTGCCTCATTCCCTATTTCCCATCGCATTTACCCAAGGATCCCATCTTCACCCTTTCCGCTTCCTCATCACTTCGAGCATCTCGGCGAACCCCGTGAAGCTTCCCCGGTTGTGACAGCAAAGCCCTCGCACACTTGAATCTGCACTTTCTCCCGTCTTACGTCGGCACTCCCTCAGTACCACCTTTCCTTCACAGCCTTTCCAATCTTCTCAAAGCACCAATATCCCCTTCCGATCGCCAGCACCAGCACCTTCCGTGGGAAATTCTGGTGTACATAAAACGATCATAAAGAAGAACGCAGATTTCATTCTTGACACCTTCCGATTTCACTTGTAAGTGAAAAGCAAACAGCAGCACAGACCTTCAAAGATGTCGGCTTCTCCTTCCAACCTTCAGTCGACCAAGCGTCCTCTCGAGGACCCTTCGTCGCCGTCCGGTCCCAATGACCAGCCTGAGGCCAAGCGCCCGGCGCTAGACAAAGTAGTCAAAAGCGACGCCGAGGCGGAAACAGATGTATCCAGTAGCCAGGTTCCTACTGCCGAGGGTGCCAAGGATACCCAGGGAGATACCGTGGTTCCCGATGCGCCCAATGGCAAGGGTCTCCCTGTCGACACCCAACCCATCCAATCAACAGCTACCCAGGCCGACCGAGCGGGCTCTGACCAACCCCCCCAGGACGAGTCGAGCTGGGTTCATATTCGTGCGGTGATCTCCAGCCCAGAGGCAGCCACCGTTATTGGAAAGGGAGGTGAGAACGTGTCCCAGATTCGTCGCCTGTCCGGTGCCAAGTGCACTGTCAGCGATTATTCTCGGGGTGCAGTGGAGCGTATCCTGACCGTCAGCGGTCCCCAGGATGCTGCGGCCAAGGTAGGTTTTTCTTTCCATTAAATAGGTCTGTTACGAATGTTCGATTGCTAATGACAAATATTAGGCGTTTGGTTTAATCATCCGTACCCTTAACAACGAACCTCTAGAGGCCGCTTCTACTGCGCAATCGAAGACGTACCCTCTGCGTTTGCTAATCCCTCACATTCTAATTGGCTCCATCATCGGCAAGGGTGGCAGCCGCATTCGTGAGATCCAGGAGGCTTCCGGTGCTCGCCTGAATGCCTCGGATGCTTGCCTCCCTCTGTCCACGGAACGGTCCCTTGTCATCCTTGGTGTTGCGGATGCCGTCCACATTGCTACCTACTATGTCGCCGTCACCTTGGTCGAGCAGCTGTCTGAGCGTTATGGCGGTCCCGCAGCTTCGGCATATGCCACTCGCAGCGGTGGTCCTGCTGGCGCTGTCCCTGGTGGTATGCAAGTCGTTCCTTACGTTCCTCAGCCCGCTGGCGGCCAATACGGCCACCCCGAGACATTCAAGCGTCACCACCCTCACCCCAACCGTGCCGGTGGTGGTGCCTACGGTGTTCCCTACCTGCACGGCCAGCCCGCCCCTGCCCCTGTCCCTCAGACCCCGATGCACTTCCCCGCCGCTCCCCAGGCCCCTTACGGCGGCGCGGGCCCCCACCAGCCCGCTCCCTTTGTCGGTGGTCCTCAGCAGCCCACTCCTGGACGTGGACCTCCAACAGCCCCTGCTCCCGTGGGCGCTGCCATGCCCGGTCAGCCACTGACTCAGCAGATCTACATCCCCAATGACATGGTTGGCGCCATCATCGGCAAGGGTGGTGCTAAAATTAACGAGATACGTCACCTCAGCGGCAGTGTAATCAAGATCAACGAGCCCCAGGAGAGCAGCAATGAGCGTCTGGTTACTATCACTGGTACCGCGGAGTGCAACCAGATGGCTCTGTACATGCTCTATTCCCGACTTGGTTCGTGTTACCCTTCCCCAGATGAAGCTCCTTGTGCCCAGGTTCTAACGAATGGATCAGAGAGTGAAAAGCACCGGATCTAAGTCTAGCAGCGCGACCTACTACGCTTGCTACGAGAGTGTTATTGCGGGGTTTCCGCCCAAAATTCTACGGTGGTTAATGAAGTCTCTTTTTCTTTGCCTTCGATTTCTCTCAGGGTGTTATTCCTTTTCCTTTTCTTACTTTCTCGTTGTATCTTATTCCAAGGCGCGTGATTGATTTTTGCCTTTCTAATAACAATTCCCGCAATTATCCCTTGAACCAAGTAGCCCTTTTCCCATTCCACTACCTGCTCTAATTATCACCGAAATATCCTATGATCCACGCAACACAGCTCAAATTACATCCAAGTCCCAACACTAATCCACGGCCCCTCGCTCTCCTTTTTTTCTTTCTCTTCCTACCTCAATTCGAACCCCTGACCCTAGATCTTTTGAAAACTAACATGCTTCATCTCCAACCCAGGAATAGGTGCCAGCAGCTTCTCCCTCAGAGGCGCAATACTTTGGACAAACTTGTCCGTCTCCTTGGCCTTGAGATGCACATCTATACTTTCCCAGCCAACAGCGAGGAGGTGAGCAAAAGCTTCCCCAGTCGGACTCTTCTTGTGCGGTAGCTTAGTCGGCCGCTCGACATGTCCCATCGACCACGACCATGGCCCCGCTGACTGTGGCAGCTGTTCGACCATCGTGGTGCGGAAGTTGATCAAGTCCGCGTTGACTTTCTTTACTGCTGGCACTTCCAGGTCGCTTCGGAATGGCAGCGTGCACAGCTCAGTCACGGGGTTTTTGGTTAGTGTTTCTGTGACGGAGAGTGGCGGGCTGAACGTGACGCGCAGGCATGACGGCGGCTGGGGATTATCTGGGGCCAGGAGCGGCTCGAGAAGTCGGATGTTTATTGTGCTGCGGGGGTCGGTCCAGTCTATTGGTTTGGGTTAGGCCGTACATTGTAGGTTTCTAGGGGTGTGGGTTTATATTGTAGTTTGAGAGTTGTTCAAGGAAACGCTGAACTCACCTACAACCCAGACGATGGTGTCTTCGTCTTCGGATGTACGTCCCCAAGATGAGTGCTGATGACCGCTCTGATGCTTGGTCGTGATGAAGATCTTCATTAGAGCCTCACCTTCCTCGTTGGACGGGTCTTCAGGCCTGACGGAAGATTTGATGCGGAAGAAGGTGACCTGACTAACGGTTTGAGACATGTTGGGTTGGTTCCTTTTCCCCAATGGTAGTATAGTTGGGAGAGAGAGGGAGTATCAAGATACAGGTGGCTGATGTCACGGGCACATGATGTCACCCGCGGACTGGCCATAGAATCCCAATTAGGAAACTGCATTGGCTCCTTTGTTCCTTCCTATTTCGTGTAGTTAGTACCTTCCCCAGTAGAGCCATGGCCAACCGTAGAAGTACCTGGTTCTCTCTTTTCTCCCCTCATCTTCTCTGCTCATCTCTGCTCTTCTCGTCTCTCTCTTCGACATCATGCAACCGTACACACTGATGTCCTGGTTACCCATTCCATTCCGAGATAAAAAGATTCGACTGTTGTTCTTCGCTACGTGTTTAAGCCACGCCTTATACCCTGGCTTCACACTTCACCTATTGTCATGGATATGCTTCTGGCAACTAGTGTCTTGCCTCGCGCTGGCACATATCGTCGGATTCTTGATCTTGTGGTTTCTTCTCTCATCCCAAACCGAAAATGTCGATCATGCCATACATATGTATTACCATTGGTTGCAGACCCTTGTGAACTCCCAAATCCAGCGATTCCCACATCGCTATCACCTCGCCTGAGCATGTCTTCCAAGTGGATCTGGTTCCTCAGTGAAATGGAACCCTCGTCTTGAAACCCAACTACACACCTCCAGTGGGGAGATACTCAGTTGAATGCGGATTTCGCGCTTTCATTCTTGTAACATGATAGGGTAAGAGGATGCAGAGGATGTCTTTTGTGATGTCTGATCTCTGCTCCTTTGACACTCCAGATCCTTCAATGTCTCGGGTACTTGGCTAATATATCCTTATATTTACCTCGTTCAGCTTGATCGGTTGCCTTTCAACAAATGGCATTTCATGACTTTGTGGTGGCAGTTCAAATTTGTCGAGCCACTTGAATCGCAGACTGTGACATGCAATCAATACATATGGATCCTATGGGCTAGGACTTACGTGCTATTTGCTACTTGTGAAACTTTACGTATTTCCGGGCTGTCTTTTTTTGTTTTTTGCCTCATTTCAACATAGCTGCTTTATTCATCTGTCAGATACCCTCAAAGAACCCTATTGACTGCACACCTTCATACCTCTCGCCTTAATCCGATACTCGCGATCTACTAGCAGAACACTAAGCCCTATATGTATGATGGCTCTGATATAACCGCTTTTTCCATCGAACTAAGGGAAAATCACATTCCGGTCAAGATGGACCCTGTCTGCGAGGATCTCTCCAAGCCACCAGAGTGTCAGGGTCTTAGCCTGATCCCTGATATTGTGTTCCTCATCCCTGGGAATTCCAACGACTGGGAGCGAAAGACACAAGGGTCTCTGGCAATGCTGGGCACAAGCTGAAACACTGATCTTGTGGCGTAGGATCTGATCGACCACCCAATTCACCAGCTGTTCGTCCGTATGGGTAAGCTTCATTGCTTCAGGGAATTCTATGGTAACCCAAAGAGCTGCATCATCTTCAGGGTCCACCAGACGCTCGGAGCCCGCCATGAAAGGACAGCTATCACTTGCGCGTCCTGTCATGGTAGATAAAAGTGGTTGAAGGGAACTGGGCTTTAACTGGGAAGTTATTTGGAGGAATACTGATGTTTGGGGGAATACTGGTAGTGCTTCTGGTGTGGATGTAGAGGCTCGAGGGCATCAGCCTTTTATAGGGGTTCTGTCCCGTAGCTGGAACAAAGACGCTTTTCCATTCATTAATATAATGTCTTCTTATAAATAGTCTTTGATCAACTCTTGAAACTTCTATCTTAATACGTAGAGATGTGCGTTCTCTTTTCCTTTGTTACTTCTCTCCCGACGATGTCATTGGCTGAGTTTTATTCTTTGTCAGTTAGAGATGCATCTACCTAGGTAAAGATACAGAGCTGATCTGATCAGGAGCTTACACAAAGAACTGCACGTAGATAGGGCTTGCATTTGATAGCTAATTTAGCCACTCACCGTGGCGCTGAAAGAAAAACCGCTACATACGTATGTGCATGCCATGACTCCCTGGCCCAATTAAGACCATCCACCAGATATCAATCCACGCTGAAAGCAAATTCCCCAAATATCGGATCAGAATCTTTAGAGAGAAAAACCAAATGAAAGCAAATAAAATGAAAATGAAAATGAGAAAAGACTACCATTCATCGACACCGCGCACCTTTGCCTGCTTGCCCTCGAAGGCCTTCTTCAAGTTGGCATTCAAGTGTTGGCGACGCGACTTCTTGGCCTTGTATTGGACGGCGTCTTCTTGTGGGATGGCAGGCTCGCCAGCACCCTCTACGCTGCGGAGACGGCTCTGTCTCACTGAGCCATTGATGCTGGCCCGGAAGTTGAGACCGCGCGAAACAGAATCGGGGGTGTGATAGGCACTACCGTCAATCGAGCCTCGCGACCCAGGGGTCATGGGCATACGGCCAGCAGCGTTCTTGCGAGGAGTAGAGAAGGGCGACGCCTCGCGGCTTGGAGGTCCTGTGGGAGCAATGTCCACGCCGAGCTTGCGCATCTGTGCCTCGAGAACATCGATGTCTGTGCTCTTGCCCTCAGCCATGCTCATCATTGTAGCAATGGTCTTGGTGACAGCCTCGACGGTTGGTCGGTTCCTGCCTGCGCCACTCGCCTGCGGAATGTCGGCGATTTTGGCACGCAGGAGGGAGACTGCCTCTTCAAGAGCGGCCATCTTGACCTGGATATTCGTGAATGTGGTGCGTAGATCATGCTGGAGCGCACCTTGCTCGGCAGAAAGTGGTGCTTCGAGAATAGCGCCGATGTCTGTGTGTGCGTCAAGAGTCTTGCGGATGCTTGCGAACTGGCCTCGTAGGGTGACAACCTGCTTTGTGAGCAGGTCACGGCATGCATCAAGCTTTTCATCCACTCCCTGCACCCGTTGGTTCTCCAACGACTGTGCAATTGAAGCAATAAGCGCTTCAAAACTCTCAATGTCCTTCAAGGCCATCTTTGTGTCGAGAATATCAGCAGGCTGGTCGCTGTTCAGGACCATCACCCACTCATCGAGATCAGAGGGTTTCTTAGGCTGCTGATGCAGAAGGAATCCCGCCATTGACCTAGCATTTATGCCCAACGTATCTACCATAGAGTTGATGTCGCGATAGAGTCGCTCGACCTGGCCGGCAATACCTGGCTTCGCAGTCTCGCCCATGTAGTTCTGGTGGGGCAAGAATGGATCCAGGGTATCAACTGGCTCAACAGGCTGAGCTAGTTCATCGCGGAGTCTATCGTCATCGTCATCGTCTGACAAAGATAGAACATCATCTTCCTGAAGTTGAGCTGCAGCATGTGCGCGTGCCTGCTTCTCTTGCTCCTCGCGAGCAACATCGCTGGGCTTTATCAAGTGGCCATCGCGCTGGGCAATATGGGTAAGAGATGCCTTACGCGAGTGCAGCGTGCCTGTGGACCCCTTACGACTATGTGATTTCTCAGAGAATAGCACGTTCTTCTTCCCTCCGACCCGAACTGGACTCGGTGACCGGTAGGGCTCACGATTACTTTGAGCAATGGGGCCCGGGGGAGGAAGCAGTGGCTGCTTAGGGATCTCCCCAAATAGCTGACGGGGAAGACGGCCTTTGTCATCCGCGTTTCGAGCAGGGCTGCTGAAGAATCCTCCGGTGGAGCTTTGCTCGGAAACTGCACCAAAGGAGCTCTCAGCTGATTGCTTGGATTTGGCGATCAGTGCTTCGTCATGTGTGATTTCTTCGCCGCTATCACTGAAGTCTGACTCTTGGGCGGCTTCTGAATCTGCATCGGAAATACCGGATTCATCAGATTCATCTGGAATTGGAACCGCCTCTTCGACAGGTTTGGTCTTTGGCTTTGCGGTAAAGTCAGGTGGCAAAGGTGCGTCCTCGGGAACAGCCGCAGCCTCGGACTTTTTGGGCTTTGTTAGGAAGTCTGGAGGAAGGGGAGCGTCGTCCGTCTTGGTTGCAGGCTTCTTCTGGGTAAGGAAGTCGGGAGGGAGAGGAGCGTCGTCCGTCTTGGGTGCAGGCTTCTTCTGCGAAAGGAAATCAGGCGGTAGAGGGGCGTCATCTTCAGGTTTTAGTGAAGCCTTCTTCGCTTTGGTAAAATCGGGAGGAAGGGGGGCATCCTCGGCGGAAGAAGCAGAAGTATCTCCAGCGGCATAACTAGCCCGGCTGGTAGAATCTGGTGGCAATGGCGTCTCCACGTCGACGCCTGATGTGGTAGGAAAGTTCTTCTTGGGTGTCTCTGTCTTATCAGATAGTGCTGACAATGGACTTGTCACGCGGTTTTGGTCGGCATTGGTGCCAAACATCGAGAATGCTGACTTTGTGTTCTCTGCCGAAGTCGTTGTCTTCGAACTGAAAATTGATGTGGGAGTCTGTGAAGCAGGTTTGCTTACCCCCCCAAAAATCGAAAACGTCTCCTTGTTCACAGGCTCGACATCTTCAGTGTCATCCATTGATTCAATCGGCGACTCGCTCCCTTTGCCGGGCGTCGACACCATCTCGTCAAAGGAGCCACCAAGTGAGAACGCTCCGGAAGAAGGTTTGTCTGATTTTGGCAAATCATTGACAGCTGAGCCATCGCCTTTGAAGCTAGATTTCAGCTCAAAGCCACCTCGCGGAGCGCCAAAGGAATTCTTTACTTCGTTGGAAGCTGGAGGCGGGAACGATGTCTGGGGCTTAGCTTCAAAGGGCGAGGCAGAGCTCTTAGCGAATGCACTTTCACCAGAAGAGGCCTTTGCGAAGGGCGACTTTTTTGGCTGTGTTGCCGCGAACGGCGACTCGCCGGGTTGCTTCGCTGCGAATGGTGACTCGCCCGGTTTCGCCGCTGCAAATCCACTGAAGGCGCCTCCACCGGAGAAGGCGCTGAAACCACCACCGCTAGCTGCTGCCCCTTTGGCCCCAAATGGGTTTGCCGGGGTGCTAGGCTGTCCAAGCCCAGAACCCCCGAAGCCAGACTTCCCGAACTGTGGCTGTCCAGGGGTACTGGGAGTGCCGAAGGATGCGCCCGGCTGAGAAGGGGTGCCAAAAGCGGGAGCAGGGGTTCCAAAGGCCGGGCCAGGACTTCCGCCAAGCCGGGACGGACTGCCGAATGCTGGAGCACTTTGTTTCCCAAAAGCAGTCGCGCCCATAGTTGAAGCTCCCAGAGCTGACGGGCTACCAAAGGCAGAGGCTCCCGCTGGCTTTCCGAAAGCCGGCTGGCCGAATGCTGATGAACCTCCAAACGATGACTGGCCAAATGCAGGTTGCTGTGCAGGGGCTGGGGCCGGGGTCGGAGGTATGGCCTGTGACTGAGAGGGAGCTTGGGTTGCCTGACCAGACGAAATCAACCCCGAATACGGGATGTTTTGGCGAATGGAATCAGCATAAACGAACCACCAAGATGAGAGGATACCGTCGTTGTTCAAAAGAAGAACACCAGGGAGGGGCGTCGAGCTCTCCAATATATCAGAACCAGGAAGCGGCGCAATGACATTTTCCGTGGCTGACAGGTTTGGTGCTAGGCCAATGACCGATGTCTCACCTCCAGAGTCCTTCAACGGGACACTGGCACGTTTGGTGTCGTCGCTTACTTCTGTGGTCATGAACTGACCAACATGAAGTTTGGTTCGCTCATCGTTGGCCAGGGGTTGGTCAGATCGTGTGATGAGGCCGAGATCAGTCGACGCAGTTGACGCGACGATCAAGACATCTCTCAGGTGAGGCTTGTACTCTCTAATTCTGGTGATAAATTGGAATGCGGGACCACGCTTCAGCGTGAAGCCCATGGTCGAGCAGACTTCTGGCAATTTCTGGATGAGGAACGGAGCCTGCTTGCGGCGGGTTATGATGTAGTATGAAGAAGCCGGGTTCATTCCCATATCATCCTCTGAAACATTTGGTGTGCATGTCACAAAGAAGACATCGTTTTCGAGCCATGCGATTGATGAAACTGTATGATCGTAAGTAAAAGCACATATTTGGTTCTGACAGCTATTTGAAACTCACTGTGGCAATCTCCCTCCAGATCAGATGGCCGAGGGACTTCGGCCTTCTTCGTTCCATCTGGGGTCATCTGGTATCCAGTGCCATCGGCCAATCCAGCAATAAGCTGTTTTCCTTTGTTGCTCCATGAAGCACAGCTGACACCATCCTTGAGAACCGGGCCACTGGGTCCAGGAAGTAGGCTCCCAGCCTTGAGATCGGCGATAAGAAGCTCGCCGTTAACGGTGACCAGTGCGACAAGTGTCGAGGAAGGATCAGGGTTTGGTGCCAGTGCTCGTAGCGATACGCCGTTCGTGGGAATTGAAATCGCTGGCTGCGCATTCCCTTGCGTGAGGGTGTTTGAATCGAAAATTGAGATTGTAGGGCCATTCTCCGTGGCGACAATCAAGCCATCGTCGCCCGGTGTGAATGCCACATGAGTGGGGCGAGAAGGAAGGGGAATTGTGGCGATAGGTTGGAATGGCTTCGTTTTCTCCATATCTTCTCCGGCCGGCGCCTCGATTGACTTTCTAATTATATCAGTAGTGCTGATTACCAGCACATCTGGACCAGCACCAACAACGAGGCCTTTGGTGTGTGCGACAGCCAGAAGTGAGGAAGTAGGAGCAGGAAGCGCGTCGTCGGGCCATGCTGTTGGGAGGAAGCGGATGTTTGCGTCCCCAGAGACGCCTTTGAAACCGACTTCCTATATCTACATTAGAAAGGGTGATCATGGTGAGTGAGAGCTGTGGCAGGGTGGACATACATCGGTAAAGACATCGGGAAGCTCTGGACCAAGCTCCGCAGAGGCGCTGCCCCCAGCGGGGTTGGGAGCACCGAAGTTGAAAGCCATTCTAAGCTTTTCGGAATTGAATGCCCCAGAAAGAGAACGTGTGCTTTCGCTTAGAGGAGAGCTATGTCTGAGAGCATTAGGTGAAGGTGAGTTGGGAGGTGTGGAGAGCGAGCGTCGATGGAGTGATTGAGGACTCCCGGAGAAGAGGTTGAGAGTATGCGCGAAAATCTTGAGGTTGCGCAGCTTCCCAGGGATGAGAAGACAAGCACAGAATAAAAAGGGACTCAACGGGTATCGCCGATGCGCAAAGGGTTAGAGATAGAAGTCAAGAGAGACTACGTAAAAAGCAATGAATGCGAAAATAATAATGTCCGGCAAAAACACCTTGTTTATGCCTGATACTTCAGGCTCAGATTTAGGCTGCGGGAGCTTCGTCACTCCAAACAGCTCACTTCCTCTTCGCTTCCATCTCCAGCTTGCTACCCCATTCGTCCATCCATCCTTCTCGATCCGCCCCGATATTCGAATTTTACTCTCGTCTCTTCCTACACTCATTCTCTATCCTGATATTCAGTTCTGCTGGTCGCGAATACCAGCGTTGTCACGATGCCGGGCTTCGACTTCACGAACTACAACCGCAATGCGGCGCTTCACGCCAAGGGCGTTCCCCTTCCCAAGGCCACAAGTACCGGTACAACAATTGTGGGCTGTATCTACGATAAGGGTGTTGTGGTACGGTTCCGAATGATGCGAAGAGACTCATACGAGCTGTGACCTAGGAGCTAACTCGAATCGCCATTACAGATTGCAGCAGATACCCGAGCTACCAGCGGTCCTATAGTAGCAGACAAGGTAAGAAATACCGACCTGACCTGTGCATTTTCTTTTTGAAGGGTACCTGACATTCTTTGTCTCTAGAACTGCGAGAAGCTACACTACATCGCGCCGAAGATCTGGTGTGCTGGAGCCGGTACCGCCGCCGATACCGAATTCACCACAGCGCTCATCAGCTCCAACGTCGAACTGCACTCGCTATCAACGGGCCGCGACCCTCGTGTGATCACCTGTATGACGATGCTGAAGCAGCACCTCTTCCGGTACCAGGGCCACATCGGAGCGTACCTGGTTGTTGCAGGCGTGGACCCGACCGGCACGGGACTGTACACTGTGCACGCACACGGTTCGACAGACAAGCTGCCGTATGTGACGATGGGATCCGGATCGCTGGCTGCGATGTCGGTGTTTGAGTCAACCTGGCGACCAGACCTGGACCGACAGGGCGCCATCGACATCTGCGCAGAGGCAATCAAGGCTGGTATTTTCAACGATCTGGGCTCTGGTAGCAATGTTGATGTGTGTGTAATCGAGAAGGACCAGCCAACCCAGCTGCTCCGCAACTACATGAAGCCCAACGAGCGCCCGCAGAAGGAGCGCAACTACCGCTTCCCCCGTGGTACCACTGCTTATTTGGACCAGAGGGTTATCAGCAAGGAAGATATGAGGAAATATGTCACGATCGAAACTCTGTCGGGCGATGATAACCTTACTACCGGGGACAGCATGGAAGTTGATACTTAGATTTTCTTGGAGATGCACTGACCAGTGGTCTTCTTGGATTGATTTAATGCACGCATGGTTTTCCTCTATCTCACTGTGTTTTCTGTACGATCGTACTTCGGGAAATTGCGACGGACACGCAGTTCGTGGATTTATGCTACAAGGTTTAGAGCAGTTATCGGAGGATAGGAAATCGGAGTTCTCAAAACTTGATGTGGCTTTCATGTAGATTGTATGCTCACTGAGCACCCTCTGGGCAAGATGAATATTGAAGCAGGGGTATCGTATCGATCTATTTTATAACATTTTCTTGTGTAGACATCCATTCACATACCATATCTACTGCCAGTCAAGCCTCGATTGACCAATCTGAGGCAGAGAAGTGAGCTCTTCAACAACCTTAGAGCTTTCAAACTTGCCGACGATCCAAAGGATGTATTCATACTGAGTAGCCGAGATACGACGACCGTCACGACGGTACCGGACGACGCCAGCATGATACATGGCCCGCACGAACTCCGGATCCACAGGCCCGCCGTGTCTGCGAAGATACACGTAAAGCCAGTGGACCATATGGAAAGACTGGCACGGAGTCAAGTGCTTGCAACAGGAGAGAGTAACTGCCAGCTGGTTTATGAGGGCGACCGCAGCATGGGGATCGGGGCAACGGCTGTTCCGCGGGCCTGGGTGGTATCGCACGAGGACTTTCTCGTCTGGATGTGGAATGGGCTGCCAAGCTTTGTGAAGGCTGACCTTAAATGGGGTATTGTTGTTGAGAAGTCGGAGGATGGGCCAGATGTTCTTTGAGTTTCCTGATCGAACAATGCCCAGGATCTCTTCAACTGTGTCCGGGTTGGTGAGGTTCATGCGGTGGAACATTTGGTCGAATGTGGTGTGGAAAAGTCTTTGTATTCCCTTATATATGGATGGGTTCGTCCACACTTCTGCTAGGGAGAGCTTGGAGGTTTCCAGTTGTTCGAGGGTTTTGCGGGTGGTTTTGGTAATGGAAGTTTTGCCCTTTTTGTTGAGGGCTAGGAGCAGAAGACTGTTGTATGGGAGATCGAGGTCATGAATTTCTCGCATGAAGTCCGGAAAGAATGTTCCGCTGGTATCTTGGATCACCGTTTCATAAAGTTTGAGCAATGAGCAGATCGGTCGATCTGTCGCTCTTGCGCTCTGGTTGTACATGGGCCCAGTGGATCGTCCAAGCGTTCGTAGAAGCCAGAGTCGCAAAATGATCTGGTGTTGAGTTGAATGGTTCAGAGGGGCATGCTTGATTTGTGTTTGAACGCATGGCAGAGGGAAATCGAACCAGATCTGTGACTTGGCAACGGTCGAAATGACTTCGGCATTCGAGAGACAATCCCGCCATCTTTCAAGCAATTGGTTTCTGGAGACCCTGTCTGCTGAAGACGATACCAATGCCTCTGTTACACGAATGACACAGTCCGCCGCACTGTCAACATCAAGCTGGCTAAAGATCTTGTCGGGAAACGGCAAGCTTGTCTCCGAATCGCCTTCCATAGTTTCCAACCAAGCCTGAACTAAAGCAGAAGGCCAGTGGCTCCGACTGTCTGCATCATGGGTTTCGATGATGAGTTCCTCAGCAAAACGAAAGCTGCGAGTACGCAGGAGCTCTTCAAGCCAAGCATCAACGATTTTTCTGTCCAGATCGTGGTACCCGAGAATGTTACAGCACCCAATAGCCTTCCACATAGCCCGGTAGTGCTTCAACAAAGCTTTATGGTCCCATGATCCCAGAGTCTTGTTTCGTTCAACGACGATATTCGGTAAAGCAGTAATGATCAGGCAGATCTCATCAGTTGAAATCAACCCCAGCTCTAACGCCCGATTAATCGCATCCAACACAGCCGTTCGTTTGCTGCGTTTCGTTTTCGTTCGAACAAAGATGTCGACAGCTGCAGCGTAATTTCCCGATCCCCGGGTATTCAGGAATGGGTCATCCAAGAACGCAATCGCTTCTGTAAGGTCTGGGTCTGAACGAGCAAGTAACCGCTCGAATATCTGCCGGCTGTATCGCGGCTCCCGGGGGAGGTCAATTCTCAGCCGACGAGTGAAATCCCTTGCATCCTGAATGCCCCAATTCTTCCCATCTAGGAATCGCTCCAGCATCTGTTCACGCGTAGCTTGGTTCGCGTTGGCAGGGTACAACAGCGGAGGATGAGTATTATAAAATTCGGTGGGTTCGGGTCCAGGCTCCGGGTTCTGGTCAGAGAAAGAGAAAGGTACTTCAGGAGGACCCAAAGAAGGATCGGCGAAAACTCCAAGGACAATTAGCGGATATTCATAAGGTCTTGCGTGTCTGGTCACACATACTCTGGGTTTCGAATGGCGCTCTCTGCCACGGATGGTCGGCCCACTTCATGTGTTCCCTCCCATTGCGGCCAAACAGACACGCGATATCTTCAGCTGGGCCTCCCCCTATGCTCGCCAGAGCAGTATTTCTTCGCTTTGCTAGGCGTCGCCGTGCTTCCAATGGTCCGGGAACGCAGCTCCCATGGCGCCGTTGACCGTTGACGAAGCGACGAAACGTGGCTGCGAGTAGGTCATCGCTGATCCAGGGATGGTCAAGTGTTGGAGTAGCTTGTGGCTTTAGAGCGTGCCGGTAGGCATGTCTGCCGAAAGACATGGGGTTGGCTATGGCATGTGCAGGCCAATTGCTGTCTTAGGCTTGTCGCAAGCACTTGGGATCAACTTTCGCATGGCAGCTTTCCGGTTCTTGGCGTGATGACTAATCTCCACATCGCTCCGGGGCTCCAGGGCGGAGTGACGAGTCAAAGGCCAATCTTCGGGCTTCCATTTCCACCTGTCTACATTTCTATGATATTTCGATTCGTAGCGTTTAGTTTAGCCATTGTTTTATTGTTCTGAGCACTTAACTCGTTTCTAAGGTTAATCTGTGCTTTTAATGTTATGACCTATTTAATCGTTCGAAGCCGCCTTGGATGAATACCAAATGTTCGCATACGTAGTATGGAAATGGATTTGTATAGAAGACAGAAAGAAATTGGAATCATAAAAACAACGCCAACGCAATGCAAAATTTTGCCCACCAATGATATCACATGCTAATCATCTCAGAGAGGACATAATGGAATGGTGTGATAAAGACAGTCATGACGACAAGCGAGAAAGCGAAGGTAACAGGAACTCAAGAGGTAGGAGGCTTCCGCCCTGTCACTACATAAAAGTCCATATAAGCATGAACACTTCGGTCCTGTATACTCTTCCTCACATCGACGAGAAAGACTTCAATTTCAGGTTTCGACCACCCAAGGGCAAGAAAGGGCTTATATGACCACCCAGACAAAGCGTCAAGCCAATTGTTCTCACTCCAAGCGCCGATGGTCCTCGATTTCTCATCCTCCGGCCAGGTATTTGTGGGGATTTTGGAGAGTCGTTCTTCGACGTCGACGAATCCTATCTCTTTCATCCACTGTGCAATCCGGTGGGCGATTCGGAATTGTCTTGGTGGATCGGAATCTCGACCAGATCGCACATTAAGGTCTACCCAATCATGCAGGGCGAATGCGCTGTATCCCCCATCTTGGTTTTCAGGAGGCATAGTCCCATCGTCGCATTTTGGTTTCGGGTCGAGCTCGTGACATTCAATGTATGCCCCCGGTTTGAGGTGTTGGAATGACTGTCGTAGTAGACGTTTAAATGACGGCATGGCCCCTGTCATGTGGCCGATGTGAATGAAATCAAAATAGTTCTTGTTCCATAGCCACTCTTCTTCAGTAGCATCATCAATCAGGAAATGGACATTTGGCGGAACTTCTGTTGGCTGAACTGGGGACAGATCGGTCCCTATTATTTCGGCGTTTGGAAATGAGGCCGCTGCAAGATAATTTGAGATGGTTAGACAAGAATCTTAGGCTGGGACGGGTGATCATACACATCTCTATGGGCCATATCCCTGAGCCGGTACCAATATCAAGAATGTGCTTTGGGTCTTGGAGGGGAACATGGAATAGCTTTCCGTCCATCGTCACTTTGAACATGTGATGTTGCATGTCTAGGCGTTCTAACTCCTGTTCGTCATTGGGGTATATATAAGCTAGACATTGAATTAGCCATGCTGTGCGAGATCTGATAGAACCGGGATTGCAAACAAACCTCCCTCGTGGTACCTGTGATAGGTTCTTCCATTTTCAACAGGATAATCGGTTACACTGGCAGTCAATGACTGCGTATCACTGTCATGATATGGTCAGTCACGCCAGTGTTCGATTTAGTAGAGCAATAGGAGGTGAGAAGGGCGGAGGTAGTATTACCAGTGGTCAGCATGAAGTGCCTGCATAATTTTACGTTAGCAAGAAAACTGATAGTCAAGTGGCCACTAGAATATCAATGACTTTAGAGTATTGACATAGGACCATATACTATAAGAGAAACAAACTCACCGGACGTCTAGCACCCATGGTCACCTCGGTCTCATCCAGCAGGAATCAATCGTGGCAAGTATAAAAGCGTTCTGCAGGACGGCAGGTGAGCTATTCCTTAGTGAAGTGATTACACCTCCCAGTATGAAGACGGAAAGACTCAGACTGACGCAAATCCAGGCATGATTGAAAAGAGAAAGAGGGGAAGAGCCCGACAGCTTGGGTTAAGTTATAATCTGGCAGGGCGGGAGGACAATCCCGACAACTATAATTCAGCGTGAGATCGACATTTGAAATGTTCGAAAAACAAAAAGCAAAAGCAAAAGCAAACCCCGGTAAGTGGAGTTCTAGTTGTACAAAGTTGGCTAAATGGTAAAGTAAAGGGTAAAAGTGTATGTATGAAAGAGTAACCCTGGAAGATCCCCAGGCGCTTCAGGCGTGAAATTAAAAGCGGAAATAATACCCTTGTAAGGTCCCTGTTCGGGGAAAAAGGTTTAGTTTTTCTAGTGGAGATGATTGGACGAAATTAATATGTAATTATCAATTTTTTACTTCATTTCTTCTTTTACATTTCCCTTTTTCCTCTTTTTTCCTTTTGTGCTATTCAAAGACCTGGAATATACACAAAATATTAACCCATTTCTTTTCCTTTCAGGAGGACAGAATCATAAAATCCGCTTTTCCGGCTTCACTATGTTCCAAGTTGGGATGTTGGATTGTCGATAGAACCCAAGACTCTTTTTCCGACGATCCTCCGGTTCGCTAACGTGGGACCCTGCCTGGTACATGTTCCCCCAGCTCGCATTTTAGTAATTTATTACCCAGGGCACATTATCTCGATCCTCACGATCGAAGGCTTCCGGCTGGTTGAACTCGATCGACCAATAGAGGTTGGTCCCATCTAGCTGGGAATATGCAACCCGCCCAGCCACGGGCCGCCTTCAACCTTTCTGCTGGGATTTTCGCTCTAAATTCAGCCGATCAGCAGAAATCATTTCCAAGAACACTTATGCAGAATCCTGCAGGGTCATCCTTGAAATAGTCATGGAACGCCATTATTCCCCGAGGTTATGAGCTTTCTTTTTTTTCATAAATACCTATTAAGGCTTCAAATCAAAATCAAAATCAAAAGTAAAAGTTCGGCTGTGATAATAATGGGGCCTACCGTGAAACTCTCGGCCCCATACAGAGTTGAGACGTGGAGCTTTTGGGATTTTCCTTTCTCAAATTGCATTCATATTATCCGTAACAGTCACGGGTACTCCGTACAGTGCCCACGCCAAGGCACTATTACTTATTGCATGTAACTACTCCGGAGTTAACTACTCGGTTTTGACTCGATCAAAGTGTCGGAATAATTCCGGAAGATTTACGAAGTCCGGTATCATGCTCGAAGTTTTTTCGTTTATTCTTTTCCCTCTCCTGATGCACATGGCTCGGATCCCTACCATGTTTAGGTCTGGCGGTGGGAAGGAAAAGGGGATGATCTGTCAGAATTAGCGTCACTTGGGGCGCTCTGAAAGCCTGGGCTTTCTCTTACTTGCCCAAATTGGCTCCAAAAGGAGGGGCACAGGGGATCTGGAAGTGCATCACGGAATGTGCACAATAGTTCCCGATACTCTGGGTCTCCATATTGATTTATATCTTTTTTATTGTTCATTTGCTCATAGTGTTTGCAGTACAGAGTACCTAAGTTTCCATCCCGAGCTTCTGGACCTAGGACTCTTCCACCATTGCTCTCGTGCAAACGTCGATCAAACAAAGGCGTGATTATAACGCACAGCATATCTTGGAGACGGAAATTACGAACGGACCTAGGTGTATCCCCGAATTTCAAGTATATCCAAAACGCTCCAACCCTACCTGCCATACACAAAAACAGTTATAAATATACAAACGTATTAACTAACCTTCTGTACTCGGAGTACTCCGAATCGAAAAGGTAACTCGGTATCTTATGTATTATTATCATTTGATGCGAGAGAAAGAAAGAGGGGGGGTGGGGGGAGGACGGGGAAAAGCAAAACGCGTCGACGATACGATGGGTCAGTAGTGCACCTTGCAGATAGAATCCCAAGCACAGCACCCCTGCAGCCGTCCCAAAAATAATCATCTCGCTGCCCATGGTGTCGGGTCCCCATCTAAAGGGAATCTCCCGGGAATTTATTTGAATTGAAATTCACCCGGACCCGGCGACTGGGAAAGTTGGTTCGGGTTCCATCGTGTCGGTAACGCTGGCCCCAGAGCCAAATTCCAAGGTTTCGAGTCGGGAACTGTCTTTACATGTGTGCTTTTCAATCGGTTATTTTTTTTCCCGCTAATTGACTAGGTATGTTGGCCCAATTTTTTGGGTTAAATTATGTCCCTCTGATGCTACATAAGACAATAGATGTGTGGTCCGGTGCTGGCCGAACCACAACCCATGAACTGCTAAGTCGTCACTCTGTAGCGGAGCAGCTCGATAGTGGAGCAGCCCTCAGCGGTTTCCAAGGTTCTCTCTTTTGAGGTCCTTGCTTTAGTCGCTAACACTCAAAAGTATCCACTATAAGCGGGACTCGTACGGAGTATGCACCATGGTTTCTTTGATGTGAGGAGGTAGACAGGGCATTGGAAATTGCAGGAACAGTGACTCAAGTATTAACCGAAAAAGTCCGAATACATAAGCCCAAGTCAAGACACTTGTTACAGAATATGCCAACGCTCCGAGAATCAGATAATGGCCTATCCGGTACGAGTCCAACGTACTCACTTTACTATGTTCACCGTGCTACTCCGTATGTGTCTAGTACCTAGTGGGCAGAGCCGTCCATCGGAAACTTCAGCCGGCCAATATGTATTGGACTCGGGGAAGAAGAAAGCCCAAGTGACAAGCGTTCTAAGCGAATGTAGGCAGCGGGAATCGCCCTGGGCTGCTCCTTGTTCCCGCCCTCGGTAGGATGCCAACTACATGCACATGGAAGTGAATATGTGCTTAGCTCCATTCTTGACAACTCATCGACTTCTAAAATAGCAAAAGTCTATTGGTTGTCTTGAGTCAAGTAAGACATACGGCCTAATATCCTTGACAACATGCATCTCAGCCCATTGCCTGTCGGGCTTTCGCTAAGTGCTCGATACTACGTGTCATGCAATAGACCAGCCTGCTGGCGAGAAGGGTAGACCGCTGGAGTATTTTCGCAGATATTTATTCCCCGCAAATAATACCACTAGATTCTATTGGCTGCGGATGAGATAGACCTGTCTATCCGTATGAATCGTCACTTCACAGGGCAACCTTTTCAGCAGCTCGGGGGTTGCACTAAGGATGCACGACAATAAAAATACGAAACTAAACAGAAGAAAAGAAGAAGAAAGAAACTTCCCTTTGCCATATCCTTTTACTTGGTAACTAACGCCCAATTAATCAACCATTAACCCTGCATGTAGGTGCGGGGTGGATGATTCACAGGAATGATCGGCTATTGATCCACAAAGTTCAATTCATGGTCTCGTCGAAAAATGCCCGCAGCACGTTCTCACCCTTGTAGAGGGAACTAAAATTTCCCAAAGGACTCATCGCTTGGAAAAAGTTAAAATATTTGGAATTGGAACTGCAAATCATTTGCTAAAATCCGAATATGACTGGCCTTGGGCGGAAGTCAGAGGCCCAATCGGCACGGCTCAAGACTAAAAAGTGTGAGCACCACACAAGTGTCAGACGCAAACGAAATGTAGATCATGCACATCTACAGTTGCTCTGGAGAGGTAAATCATCCACTAACACCCCGGCCATCCACCAATGACGAGTTAGTGTCAAAATGTTGAACCTACCTCTAGACAGTAGGTAGTATTGTCATTGTCGACATTCCTTTTACGGCCTGGTCTCATTCAGAAAAAACCTTTTCGCTGTATGTCACACTCTAGAAGGGCCTGGATTAACTCCTAGGACAGCCTAACTGATCAATCAGCGGACGAGTTATCTCCACTGGTGTGAGTTCTATTGGCTGGAATGTCTCCGTCCTATAAAAGCCATGCAAATCTGCGAGGGAGAAACAAAAAATGGCTGACATGCATTGGGCGTAGTATATTGGATTGCAATGTAACTATACCATGGAAATTATTTGTATATGCATGTCGCTTTGCTTAATAGCTCTGACCCCTATATTCTTTTTACCTTCTCAGCATGTAAATCTTTCTAGAAGACGACGTATTACCAGACAACTCATATAGGGTCATTCTATCATATATCTCATGGTGATTGGTCGATTGAGAGCTACTGTCCAACTATCCCAGGCAAGATATCATCTTCTTTGCGCTCATCTTCTCTCGGCGCATGATTAGGTTGGCTTGTCTGCTTGTAGTCTCGCCTATGGAAATCATTTTTGTCGGAGTTGCGGTCAAAAAAAAGTAGAGGTCTTCCAGTGCATATATATTAGCATTCCCACATGCTTTGCGTCGTTAACCACGGAATCTAGATGGAACTTCAACAAATATATACACACTTAACCCAGTAACTGGAATAACAACAATACAAACGAATACACCATTCAAATCGGCCGATATATACATGTAGGATTGAATACAATCAGCTTACCTCCCAATCGGGTTATATTGATATCGGCGCGGATAAATCAAAATCCGACGTGACGCACCTTGTGATCTGGAAGGACTCGAAATGTAGTGCATCAAAGCTTTGGCGAGGACATATCTCTATTCTGCATATACCATTTCGAAGCAATAGTGCATTTTGCATCTTCTCTTCCTTGATGTTTTGCCTCATTGATTTTCCCAGGGTGGCGGGGTACTAAAGCGTCACTTCGAGTGCTGATGCGCGACGCGTAGAGCCTCATCGGATAAAAAGCCGGGAAATCTGCTGCATTATTTTGCCTTCCATCATTTTGATTTGAAATGGTGCGCCAAACACCAGCTCGTTCCGCAAGGAGCCGGGTGGCGCCCGCTCGTCAACCAAAGCGCCAGAGACAGACAGATGGTCATGCTCCAGATGTCTATCAGGAACTGTTGGAGGAGGCTGAAGCCAGAGATCCCGGGCAATTTGCTTCAGACAGACCAATCAAGAAGCGCAAGGCCGGGGATATGAAAGCTATCCCTGTGGGGTTAGGGGCCTCGGAACAAACACATCAGGGCGCAGAAGCAAACAAACATAGCACCCAACCAGTGCAAACCGTTTACGATTCATCGACATCAGAAGAATCAGACGTTGACTGGGAAGATGTCGAATTACAGAAACCGCCGCAGTCATTGCTGAGTAGACAATTTGCGTCTCAAGGCGACGACGAGATGCTCCAGATCACACTAGAGCAAGAACCTGAAAGGCACAGAAAAGCAGTCCAAAGAAGGAAGCCCTTAAATGGAGCCGAGAGAAAAGCCAGATTGGATGTGCACAAATGTCATATTCTTTGCCTTCTTGGCCACGTTCAGTTGCGCAACATGTGGTGCAATGATGAGGAATTACAGGTCAGCGCTGGCCCGCTTAGGTATATTGAAAGGGGCCCTAACAGCATCATAGGAATTCCTGAAGAAGACACTGCCTAGGAAAGTAGTCGCTCTTCTACACCCAGGCGAGGATAAACCACATTATAGCAGATCCACCACGTTTATGGACGGTCTCAACCAGGCTGGAGATGCCTTCGCAAGCAGATTTCGGGTTACCAGACCAGGAATGAAACGGGCTCACTGGGCGGAAGATGAATCGCAATTGAAGCAGAAATTGGTATCCTTCACAAGTTTTTCCATCAACAATTATTCACTGACACGGATATATAGGAGGCAATCATGTCCAACGCTGAAGTCTTTTTATCTAAACGGGATTTTCGAACACAAGCAAAGACAATGGAAGGTTCCCGTGACTTCGGGGCTCAGCTATTCTGTGCCCTATTGCGGTCTGTAGCTGTAGAGGCGAGACTGGTTTGCTCATTGCAACCCTTGCCGTTTTCTGGCACTTTGAAAGACATGACGCCGTCTAAACCAAAGCATCAATATATCGTGATATCCTCAGATGACCCTGGATCGTCAACAGATGAACGCAGCAAGAGCGAAAAATCACCTGCAGCTTCAAGGCCTCGACGCATTGGACAGCCTAAATTCACCCCCTCGCGTCCTCCTCAACCAAAGTTCCATTCAGGTATGTGACTTCCAGCGATCGTTAGTCTAGGCCTAACTAACACTCACAGTTCCAATTCCGACACCGCGAGACTCGTCATTTCCAGTGTTTTGGGTGGAAGCTTTCAACGAAGCTGCACAGAAATGGGTTTCAATTGACCCTCTCGTAACAAAATCCCTTGCAAAACCTTCGAAATTTGAACCGCCTGCGAGCGATTCGTTAAATTTGATGAATTATGTGGTTGCTTTCGAGGATGATGCCTCTGCAAGAGACGTCACGCGTCGCTATGTAAAAGCATTTAATGCAAAGACGCGGAAACTCCGCGTGGAAACCACACAGAATGGCGAGGAGTGGTGGGATAATGCTCTAAAGGCCTATGAAAAGCCTTTCTTAGAGGATCGGGATGAGGCAGAGATCAGTGAACTAACATCCAAATCAGCCGCTGAGCCCATGCCACGCAATATCCAGGACTTCAAGGACCATCCCGTCTATGCGCTTGAGCGACATGTCCGTCGCAATGAAGTGATCCATCCCAGACGCGTCATTGGGCATGTGGGGTTGGGAAAAAGCACAGCACGGAGTGAGACATCAGAACCCGTTTATCGTCGATCTGACCTGCATACTGTGCGAAGCTCCGACAAATGGTATCGCCTTGGGCGGGATGTCAGAGTTGGCGAGCAGCCTCTCAAGCGTGTTGCTGCAAGCCGAAATAAGGGCGGAGGCTTCAGTGACGATGAAGATGAAAACGAGCCCCAAGAGACTACACTTTACGCTGAGTTCCAGACAGACATCTACGTTCCACCACCGGTGGTTCAGGGAAGAATCCCGAAGAATGCATATGGAAACCTCGATGTCTATGTGCCCAGTATGGTTCCGCCTGGCGGAGTTCACATCAAGCGGCCGGAGGCTGCTCGAGCTGCTCGAATTCTTGGCATTGACTATGCCGACGCAGTCACTGGATTTGACTTTAGAGGCCGTCGTGGTACGGCTGTCCTCGGGGGAATTGTTATTGCCGTCGAGTACCAGGAGGCGCTCGAGGAAGTTTTGCGGGGTCTCGAAGATGAAAGGCGAGATGCTGCACTGGAGGCAAGAACCGTGGAGGCTCTGCGGTTCTGGCGGCTCTTTTTGATGAAGCTTAGGATTGCAGAAAGAGTCAAGGAATATGCTGGCGATGACGAAATGGATGTCGAAGATGCTAGTGGTGGTTTCTTTCCTGAACCAGACCAACCAGCCAATAGCCCGCCTCCGAAGTTTCTGGGAAAGGGTAAAACGGTACTTGATCAGCATTATCCCGAAGACTATACAGAAAATGAAATGGAACCGTCATTGGGCGAGGAGGATTATACCCCTGGAGGGGGATTTCTGCCCGATGATCGTGATCCAGCTTCGGACCCGGTGGAACCTGCAAAGCCTGCACCTTTGACCATCAACCGGACATCGATTCCTGAGGGTATCACCAGAAACAAAGCATCAAAAATGCCTCGCTACTCACTGGTGGTTGTCCCAAACCACGACTTAAACCCGACCTCCGTACCCCAAGTCCTCGCAGGATCATCTGACAAAGTTCCTATCGCAGTAGATTCATCCACTGGCTCCAAATCCACAAGTGTGGTCACTATCTCCCGGCCACCGTCACCGGTGCCTAACTATGATTCTGATAGCGAGATCGAGAAGGGATCTTTGCTTTCTGAGGATCCTGAAGATGAGGATGCAATTCCCGAATGGCTGATGTCCGATGAGGGCTAGTTTTTCACAATCAGACCTGTTGTATGTTACCTATTTATATTGAATATAAACCTTTCTAGGAATGATGCCTGAGGGAAGCATGTACTTATCAGCAATCTCATAGCCTCGGGAACCGTGAAGTCTATCGAGGAATGAGTTGTTGGACCAGAGATGAGTGCGTGCTAGGGAGTAACATGCTAGTGTTGATCTGTTCTTTCTTGAGAGAGAGGGGCAAGGCTCCCGGCAATGCTAGGCTTTTTCTTTTTCTTACCGCTTGTTGCTGCGCATCGTGTTCACGAGGCTGAGCCTTCCCAGTTAGCGACGGGTTCTCTCGTCTCTCCTTTGCAGGCTTTTTGTCTCTTCCTTTGAATCTGCACTTGACTTATTCTTGTTGAAGAACCATACACGATACCGTACATCATATTTAAATTTAAATATACATATGTGAAACTCGGTGAAAACACAGTGTGAGCGGAGAACAAAATGGTAAATGCTGGATAGCACAGATGGGCTACCACAATCATCTGCTCCGGAACAGCCGCGAGAAAGAAAAAAGATGATATAGAAATAAAGAAAACAACCAGTTGCCTTAGTTGTGACGTTCAGCTGCCGGTTATCTGAACGAACTGGTAGGCCGAGGACCGAGACCACTCTTTTCGTAGGCCATGTCCAGCATCTTCATCTGGGCAATCGAGTCGCTTCTATCCACCCAGTGTTGGGTTTTCCGACCCTTGATGCGATTGACAAACTGCTCCAACTGGTGTCGGTAAGACGTCCAGTAAGGTTCACCGGGCAGGTCCGCAAAATCACCACCTGCTTCCTTGAAGGTGTATGCTTTCTGGGAGGTTTTCTCCTCCCACTTCCGGATTACGTTGCCTGTATTCTGGTCACGGATCTCATAAACATCCTTGATATCAACCCTATGCCAGAAGAGCCCGTGCACAAAGCCGTGGAGGGTCAACTCCTGTTTTTGAGCCTTGAGCTGTGATTCAGGGAGGCTCTTGTCTTCCATAATGATCTCCTTGTTGGTCACCGTGACATGCGATGGGGTCCAGGACGTGGGTCCCTTCAGAGTACTTGAGGCCTCGCCAATCCCACCGTTCGGGAAACGAAACTGGGCTCGGAAATCATAGTCACATTTGTCATGGATCCCATCGGTGTAGGCGTGCACCTCACAGTTGAGACACTCCTCAGGTTCAGCGTCAAAGAAAAGCCGCAGCGCAGCCAAATTGTAGGTTCCCATAGCCATAATACTGCCACCTGACAGCTCGTAGTTGAAGTGGATATCGTCCTTGCTGGTTAGCCACCAAGGGATCATTGAGACGGCGTTTATGTGGACGACATTCGCCGGGTCGATCAAAGAGCGGAAGTACGACCAGGCTGGGAAGAAGCGACTGTGGAAAGCCTCGAGGAGGACTGGTCCATTGGGTTGAGAAAGCTCAGGCAGGTTGAAGAGGATCTCCGCCTCCGTGGAGTTTGACACAGAAGGCTTCTCAAGCAGGACGTGCTTGCCGGCGCGAATGGCACGGACTGCCCATTCGTAATGAAGGGAGTTTGGAAGGGGGATGAAAACACAGTCGATGTTGGGGTCATGTATAATATCTAGTCATATCAGCAAGTAGTTGACCTGGGTTTACGGTTGGCGACAATGTACCCTCATACGAGTCTCTGACTTCGGGAATGCCGTGTGACCTAGCAAAATCATCCGCCTTCTTGCGGTCACGAGCCGACACCGCCTGGACGATCACTTCGGGATGGGACTTGGCTGGAATAATTAGAGCAAGTGGCCTAAGTTTATATGTCAACGGGGTTAAGCTTCGGCCATGTATATTTTTCACATACGCGATGCTGGCGGCTCCTAATATGCCAAATTTAAGAGCATCTCCTACTTTAGCAGGTTGTTGCGGCGGACTGAACGCCTGGTAAATCCGACCAACCATGGATACCAAAGATGCCATGATGCTGCTTGATGCACCAGCCAGCACGTCAGTCAATGTTGCGGCAGAGCATACCTTCGTCAACTCACCTTGACGTATAATTAGCTCCGGGAGACGACAGAGAGAGAAAGAGGTGTCTATTTATATGTGAGAGAGAAGGTATGCGAAGAGAACTTTAGCAGACGAGAATATTGCGGCCTATCTGCTAGTTGTCTCAGTCAATAACCGGCGGTCTGTGCCCAGACCATGATTGGGAAGCTGTGACCTGGTGGCTTGAGATAAGCAAGGATGTAGAGGCAGTTATGACAGTTATGAAAATCTTTGGCCTTTCACAAACCTCCTTTCCATCCCATGCTCTGATTATCATTTCCGTTAGACTCAATAGAAATCAATCTGCTTGGCCCTTCGCTTTCCCCCATAACCCTCTTAACTGAATACAAAGGGCTAAGCATCAACTAGCTTTATTTCCTAGATGATCTTGTAGTTGAGATATGTGAGATTTCCCACCTTTATATATGGGCCTATACTCTGTACGAAAGTAAGATCAAGTATTAACCGGGCCACAATACCCGATTCGTTGGGTTGAGCCGTGCGTTGGGCCGAGTAAGCCAAGAAAAGAATTCAATTACTAATGTATGATAATATCGCAGCCTCATCCAACAGCCCGGCCGGGCTAGCTCAATCGGTAGAGCGTAAGACTCTTAATCTTAAGGCTGCGGGTTCGACCCCCGCGTTCGGCTATTCCTAAAACCAAACCTGAGATTTCTTTTCTTTTCTTCTTTTTTTTTTTTTTGCTG